GTAGTACAATGTTACTATGTAACATTATACTACTTTGGTCATAGTGAAATATGAAAAAAAAATCTTAAATAAAAGAGAAAACAATGTAATAAAAAATAAAAAAAATCTAATTTTTCATACTGTCATTAGTCAGTGTCCTTGATCACCACCATGCCAGTTATATGATGACACTGTACTGCACTGGTGACAGTATGTAAAAAAAAAAATAGTGAAAATCATTTTTTTAAGTTCTTCATTTTCCGAAAAATTATGACAAAAAAATTACAACTTCTAAAAACTCGCTATGCCTGTTATGAAATACGTCACACTGTCTACTTTGCAAAAAGGGGTCATTTGGGGGATATCTGTACTGTTCTGACATTCTTGGACCTCAAGAAATTAGATTGGCTGTCAGTAATTCAGGATTAATTAATTTTCAGATATATCCCATAGTTTGTGAACTCTATAACTTTCCTACAGACTAAATAATAAATACTAATTTGGGTTATTTTCACCAAAGAAATGTAGTAGAATACATCTTGGCCTAAATTTATGAAGAACAATTATTTATTTGCAAACTTTTATAACAGAAACAAAAAGTTTTTTTTTGTTAATTTAGCAAAAAATAACCCCAGCGTTGATTAAATACCCCAAAAGAAAGTTCTAGTTGTGTGAAGAAAATGATAAAATTTTAGTTTGGGTACATTGTTGTATGACTGTGCAATTTTCATTCAAAGTGTGAGAGCGCTGAAACCTGAAAATTGCCCTGGGCAGGAAGGGGGTAAAAGTGCCTTGTATGGAAGTGGTTAAGCAATGATAAATGCAGTGTAATCTGAGGGAAACATCTCCGGGTTTTAGCTATCTGAAGTATCTCCTTATAGAAGAAGATACAGGAGAATGAGTAAAGATAGTTAGAAAGGATGAGATTATAGTTGGAAATAATGGAGTAGAAGTCTGGTTGAAGACACAGATAAAGCAAGGGCACTCCATCATGACTGGGGAGGATCAAAGGTCAGTTCTCCTGTAGCACAAGCCTGAAAAAATCGAAGGAGTGCAGATGTGAGAGAATAGTTCTATTCCAGTTTTCTGTGCCAACAAATGATCCAGGTCCCTTATGGTGTCTAATTCGGTTGCCCATTCACCAAGGTAGGGTAGTTTGATTTCCAGTGGCAGGAGATGACTGCTTTAGCTGCTGTAAGTAAATGTCTGAGGACATCCCTCTTTGTGGATTTAAAGGATCCAGGAATCGTGGATAGGAGAGCTATCTTGGGTGACACTTGGGTAGAAGTTGCCATGAGTTTACAGTAATGGGGCAAAGATTTGTTTGCAGAACATCCATATGAGCGGACAATCCCACCAAATGTGGAGCAAGGTCGAGGTGTGACTTTGCCAGCAGGTTTCAGGTATCGTGGGGTCATGGAGTACTGAGTGGCATTTGTAGCATCTGGTGACTAACTTGAATCCTTTTAATTGTGTTTTGGTGGCAAGAGATAGTTTGTGGGCTGGGGTGAAGCATTTTTGCCAGTCTGAGGAGAAAAGGTCTGGTTGAGTCCTTTTTTCCATGACTGTGTATATGAGGGGAAGTCCGTGCAAGTGGCAGCTACAGGGTTTATTAAAAATGACCATTCTAGACAAATATTTTTGCTGAAGGAGGGTTAGGAAATTAATGACTTGAATTTGGGGAATCAAGATGTGCTGTCCCACAATGTGTCATTCTAAGGCTGTGTAGATTTGAACATGGGGGGGGGGGGCAGAGAGGGCAAGGAAGCAGCACATCCTGGTAGACAACCATGGGGCTAACCTGCAGTGTTCAGGTTGCCATACTGCAAAGTCCAAGCATCCACCTGTGTACTGTATATTTTGGTTAGTACTCTTTGTAAGACCTGATGTTTAGGAGTTGCTTGATAGGGCTCACAACCACTTCCTGAAGGCCAAGTTTTGTTATCTATATGAACCAAACCTAAATGTTCCATAACAAGCACTCTTGGTTCTAGCCTTGCTGCAGTGTGTGTTTTAGACACAATATATCCCATACAAGTCTCCTGGGAATCTTCGCAGATGCTGTTACATCCAAACAAATATTCCAGGATAGTTGGATTGTAGGACATTTTAGAATAGCACATCAGAGTCCCAGGGTCTTACTGAGTTAGATTTGTTGTGTGCAGTGATGTTCAGGAATTAGTCTTAGCATCCAGATTTTTTTTTTTTTTCTCTAGTATCTGAAGAAACATGAGCTTATACCATTTATGGGGTTCATTGAACCATAGGAGAAATTGGACTGCCATATACACAGGGTGATGACCATAATGCAATGCAAATCTACTGTATAGGGTGTTTCTTGCTTTGACCGTCAATTTGCCCTTGTCTCAATAAATCCAACAAATGTACCACCTTGAGGTTTACTAACTCAGCTGAAAGCTGACAGGATAGCTTTCTCACTAAGCATCCCTGTATGGTGGCCCTTATGTCAATGTGTCTTTTTCTCTACCTTCAACCACAATTTTATGTGATTTCTTAGTCTTCTCACTTTGTACACACAAAATAACCCTTATGTCTTGTGGTCTTTACTTTTATTTTTATATATATATATATATATATATATTCACTCCACAAAGTTGTTTTGCATATATTTGTGAATGTTATGGTTTTAAAAATTAAAAAAAAGAACATTAAAGTGAACCTGTCATGTTTTCAAAACTGCATGAACGATCACTGATGCATGTAAATGTGCATGCTTTCAAATCCATTCTAGGTCTGTGCTGTATACAAGGTCTTAAGTTCTCAGCAAAGAGAGGTTAAACTCTGCTCACTGGCTGTGCTAAACCTCACCCCTGCCATTTAGCTGTCAAATGCCAGAGCCTCTACCAGCCACAGAGCTTTTTCTTTTTAGCAGAGTAAAAAAAAAAAAAAAAAAAAAAAAAAGAGAGAGACAATTAAAGCATTGCTTCAATGAATGCATCCTTTAACCTTTCTGGTTATAGGAAGTAAGATTCCTATGTTTAGAACTGCATGCTGTTTTAGTTTTCTTTAAATCCTTACCATTGAAGAAGATACCAGGTATCATTTGGTTAGCTGAGACGACAGCACAGAATATTTATTCACAGCTTGCAGCTATAAAAATCTATTGCATATAAAATGTTGCCAGGCACATAGAGACATCCTATCTTGTCTCAGAGCAATAATGGCTCAGTCTTCAAGATCAAACCAAAACTTCTGAGCTTTCGAAATACTTGTCATTTCAGTTGCTAGGTTTATGAAGGTTTCTAAACATAAACAAATCACAGTACCAAAGCACAAATGCTGGTAACAGAACACAATTATATACTGTACATTCACATAAAAAAATCATCAGTATTTAAATTATTGGGCTTCAGGGTAACAAACCCAAGCTATTGTGAGGAGGATGTAGGAAAGTGTTGGTGGAAATCATGTTATACGTATCATCAATGCCACCGGAAGAGAGCGTTGTCCACATTGAGGCCTCATATTTCACACTGCATTAGTGCCCGAAGATGAGAGTGTTGTTCAGAAATTTAAACTGCTTAAATGAAGAGATCATCGCTGTTAGACGATCTGTATGTATATCACTGCTCTAAAGCCCCCATGCATGTTCCTTAGTCCTGCAGTACAGCCGGGTGCCAAAACCCAGGAGCCTGCTCCCGCTCTATGGTGCACTCAAACCCAATGAACCAGGCCGCACACTGATGACACATCAGAGGTTTGGTGTCAGGTGAGGATTGTGCAGTGTTTTTTTCTGTATGCTCATTAAAGTTCACTGGACTTTCAGAAAGTCGCTGGTGTTCATCCCCGTTCTTTGGGCTTGATATGATCATTCCTGACACCATACATCTTCTTGGCACCAACATTTTATTGTAGTGTAACTACACTGTAAAAACATGAGATATAAACGAGCGCTAGGTATAAAGCTGCTAGCATCAAGGTAAACCTCCTACCCTCTAAAAAATCTGAGAAAAAAAGGATGCAGCACTAAAATAGTACAAGTGAAATATGTGCAAGCGCCAGCAGGCGTAGAGGTGAAAATAACGTGAATCGTCCAAAATATGACATATAAATAGTGAGTTCAATAATCAATAGACTGTAGTCATGTGACTATGGTGGTAAATATGAAGTCCACTGAAGTGATAATCCGATTCTGTGAATTCCGTGACTTGAGTGATTACAGAATGGTAATGTGAATGCACTAACCAGAAGCACAATCTTTTTGCGCATTTGTGTAAAAGGTGTATCCCATCATGGTCATCTGGATGTGGATAGGACCAAGGCAATCATCTGGCACACGACAGCATACAAGTTCATTAGCGGACCTTACGCACACTCTCAAAGGACATCTCACATGTACATGACCGATGGACAGGGACCCACAAAGCATGTATTGGTATCCACCCTGAAAAACACCTTGGCCTGCTCAGTTGGAAATAACTGTTTTTCAGTTTCAGAGAAGAGCCTATGTTGCCAAAACTCCCTTTTTTGTTTTCTTTCCTTAAGTGATTTTTTTTTTTTATGTAGAGAAGTGCCAAAGATAATTGGCTGTTTCCAAACCCCTGCTGTTTTCAAACTATGCACTTTTGTCCTGCTGCACTTCTGTACACTGCACTTCCAATGAACAAAGTCTACAGAGTAGATTTATTTAATTAAAATGTAAATGAAGCTAGTACACTTTGTAGTGTATATTGTACTAGTTTGACTTCAGTAAGGTAAACTTTAGTTGCTGTGGATTACTACACTTTGCACTTAGCATTTTGCTCCTTGCACTATTTAAAAAATAAGCCCTATAATATCTATAAAATCTGTTGATCACATTATAACAAATGTTGACATGCTTATTCAAAAAAGCAATGTAAAAAGTGATGTTCAAAGAGCAAGATGCTCTGCTTTGTTCAGATTGGTTGTGATGTGTTTATGCATTTTGTTTGCTACTTTTTAATTTAATGAATAACCATGCAAGTATTCTTCATCTTTGTTTTATTTTAATCATGTTTTTGCCTTTGTTTTCAATACAGCTTACCATGACGCCACTGTCTCTGGCTCGAGCTTATGAAGAGGAGTTTAAACAAGACATGATGGCATTGAAGGTAACTTTGGTTTGCATGTTACAGAGAAAAAGTGCCCAAATGTAGCATACAATAGTGGCTGGTGTATAGTTTGTTTTTATTGTCACAATGTTAGTGGATTGCTTACATAACTACTGCAATGACTCCTGAAGGGGGAACATTGTGACTGCATAGCGAAACAGGAGCAAAAAATACAATTCATAGTCCTGTGACATGCTACAGTTAGAGAGCACAGAATCATGAACCATAGGTCAGGACAGGCAACACAGGATCATAAACTGTATATAAGCTGAATAATAGCAAGCAGCACAGGACCATAAATGATTTAACTGCTGGCAGCACCAAGAAGAAACACAAGTCAGGCAGCAAATGATCATGGATGAAAAAAGACAGACAAAGCAAAATAGTGCAGTCTAGGTAATAACGAGTACAGATCAGACTATGGAACCTGTATGGACAGATGAAGGTAATCTATGCAAAAAAGGTAATATATTAGTATCCTCACAAAGCAATTGCTTAGTACCTTACTGTGCAACTGCTCAACTGGCTTCCACTAAAGCTGAGTACACACGGTCCAAATATCAGCTAGTTCAGCAGGAACTGGCCACCATTCAGGCCATGTGTATATCTATCCTTCTGACAGAAGCCGGTGTAAGGATCGTCTTTTGTCAAAGGGACATGCTGGAAATCCAGCCAATGGCTGTGAGCACTGATTAGTGTGTTCTGATGGGGGAGGACAGAGGGGCAGTCCCCCTGTCCAAACACAAAGGCACAGCTGGAGAGATCGCTGCACTAGCATCGCATGTTTGTACAGCAATCACTCAGGTTTTTTTTTTTTTCGTTCAGCCCACTGGGTTGAATGAAAAATGCTGAATATGTGTACCAGGCATTAGATTCACTGTGCATGAAGAGATGTTCCTAAATCCATGGCACTGCCTTGCCTAATAGTGACCCCTTGCCTAAATGCAGTCAGTGGAAGACTGTATATGAATTGTACATACAGGGTAATTCCAAAATACACAGATGTTCCATGACATGACAAATTCATTTTAGGCTTGGATATTATAATATGCAAATCAAAAACTTAAATCGAAATGATGGATGAGTAGTGTGCTGCAGGAAAACCTTTTGTTGCCTATACCAACCAATCAGATTACAACTATCGCTAACCAATCAGATTACAACTATCATATTTACAGTCCATGTTTGAAAATGGAAAAAAGATTCTAATTGGTATGCTATGCACAACATTCTTTTCCTGATAGCGAAAATATCATGTGTAGGCCTGCTCGTTATTATGCCCATATTTTGACCTGTTGTTGTTTAGGTGGAGCTCAGCAATGATAAGAACAAATTAAAAATATATAGGATGAAACCAGCCTATATCACAGCGCTCAAGAAATGGTGAAAATATTGGTATACAAAAATAAAATAAAAATGATTAAACCAGTAATTTAAATATTTAAACCAAGCTGCCATTTTAAATAACAAAAAAATTCTATAAACTGTGACTGAAAAAAGTACACATAAACAGTGCTTTGTCAAAACACAATGTCCAATTGATATAAAAGGATAAAGGAAAGAAAAAAAACCTCCACCAAAAAAAAAAATTATAAAATAAAATTACAATGTGAAAAGTTGAATTCATTCCAGTGGTAAGTGTCTCTTTAAGATAAGGATTTAGTAAGGAAAATCCATTTGGTTCTAATTGGGTGAGGGAATTATCTAAAAGGGAAACCAAATGGATTTTCCTTACTGATGCTTTAACACCTAATGGCTGAAATATTGAACTAGACATTGTTTTATTAGGGTTTATTGATTTATTATGATTTATATGGTTATTGTCAATTTAATTTATTTGTTGATCTAAATTTGTTTATTAACCTCCCTGGCGGTATTCCCGAGTGTAGCTTGGGGTAAAGTTTCAGTATCAAGAGCGGTAACCCTGAGCTACACTCGGGCTTACCATGCGGAGCTGCTCCGGGATCCCTCAATCACTTACCTTGTCCTGCGCTCCCGCGATGTCCCTCCTGTATTGTCCCTGGCAATGTAATCTGGCGGATGCCGGCATCTGTCATCTGGGTTCCGTCCCCTGCGAGCGTCGGGACGTACGGGGGACGGAACGGCGGGAAATTTGAAAATGACAAAAAGTGACATTCACTAAAATCACATAGTAAAACATTACTGTATCAAACCATTTCACATACGTTTTGTCCCGAGTGCTTTGTCCTGTGCCCTGCCTGCATTTTTACTGTTCTTTCTGCCTGGAAACTGAGAAATGTCCATGGCGTCCAAAAAGCGTCCCTTTAGGTCAAAAGCGGTTTTAGACCAGCTAGAGAACAGCGATAGTAAATCGGAACCACTTGCAGAATTGAGTGATAATGATTCGTGGGGAAATTCGTCATCAGACACTGAAAACGATTTTGCGACTTTGCTCAGTGATGTGTGAACTTGGTGCTATATTTCAAATTTCTGTGTTTTTGGTTTGATAATATTATTGAATTAAATTTGTTATTATATTCTTTTTTATGATTATTTAATAAATTATAATTTATAATTTCGTGTTTAAAGTTTTATCCTACCCGGGATGTTTACTAGCCTCTTGTTTGGACAGATTTCAGTGAGTTATTCGTAAAAATGACAGGCCTACAATAAAAAAAATACATATTTCCATGCAAAAAAATGTACCGCTTTGAGCACAGAAATATGGACATAATCAGACCACTAGGGAGGTTAAATAATATTTTTTAGGATTTAATTTAGTTTATTTAATTTCATTTTCATTTTTTTTCATTTAATTCCTGTCATTTTGTTATTTATTTAATTATTTGTATTTGGGGTTTGATCTTGAATGTTTAAATGTCCAATTGGTTGCATTTTGATCTTGTGTAGTTAGTTTTTGTATAGAGAAAGGTTTTTGAATGCCCATCAAACTTATTATGGATTAATTTTATGTCATCTTAAATTTATCCACAAGATGGTGATCATGAGCATTAATTACCTAACCAATAGTATAACAAGCTGCCTTCTATAAAGCCGCCCTCTTTTACGTATGGTCACACCCCCTCAGAGGAAGTCGGATATGAGGAAACGCTGGTGAGTGTTGAATCCAATGGGGTGTTAATCACTGCAGGATCACATGGATGGTGGATCGCTTTATCTTAAAGATACACTTACCACTGGAATGAATTGAACTTTTCACATTATAATTTTATTTTATAATTATTTTTTTTTTGATGGAAGTTTTTTTCTTTCCTTTATCCTTTTATATCACATGGACATTGTGTTTTGACATAGCGCTGTTTATGTGTACTTTCTTTAGTCACTGTTTATAAATGATAAGAACAAGCTTTAAAATGTATGCAAACCCTAACATTAGGTCCATTTTAGTTGTCTGATGAATCATCTTAGGTACGACCAGCCTGAACATAGATGGATTGAATCCTAAATTGCTGAAATTCTCAATATTTCTGCTTGTTCCATGTGTAAATTGGGGCTGCATCACCTGCATGTGAGCTGCCAAAATTCACTTCTTGGCACATGCACTGGGTGTTGATGTGAACTACCACGAAAAATTGGCAGTCTGTTGGCATATGTGCCAAGGTAAGCTGCCATTATTATGCTAGAGGCTAGCACAGGTTGTTGCAAGGCCATGCAGACAAAAACATGTACTTAGAAACTTCAGAGGTATGGTGCCATATAAACATTAATTTCGTCCTGGGGTCATTCTGCTAAAGGCTGATCATAGTGTTGATGTTACAACTTTTCCCTGCAATGCTATGTCATGTTTTTATAGGTTATATTGTATGGCAGGTGCTCTAAAACAATGTTTAGAGTGCTTCTAGTTTTTTATAGATTCCCTTGGAGTTTCTATGACAATGCTCATTGTAATTCCCACCTAAATGGGAGCATCAATGCCTCTCTGGTGCTTCTGCATGTCTTTAACTATAATATCAAGTCTTATTGCTGATAATATGATTACATTAAAGTGTAATTTAGTTTTGTCAGTCTCAGTTTGATAATTTAATGTTTTTCTGTCTTCTGTTCTTCCCAGAAGCAATTTTTCCTTGTTTGAGTTATGAGTAATGTGTTCTTGTTTAACAAGTACAGTTGTTTTTTTACGTAGTACGAACTCATTTTCCAAAATTTGAGTTAAATCGGTTGTAAAGGCTCAAGGTTTTTTACTTTCATGCATTCTATGCTAAAAATTTACTGTTCACAGCCCCCCCTACAACTTCCCTGAGCCCACAATAGCAGCGATTCTCTGGGGACGACTCCTCATTTGTTGAGAGAGCAGCAGGAGCCATTAGCTCCAGCTACTGTCAATCACAGCCAGAGAGCCACTGAGGAGAGAGCAGGGGGCAGGCCAAGCCGCACTACATTTGTGAATAGACACACAGAGCAGTGGCAAGCTGCTTGCTATGGGGGCACTCAGCAGGAGGGAGTGGCCAGGAGCGGCAGTTGGGAATTCAAGAAGAGGAGGATTGAGGCGGCTCTGTGCAAAACCATTGCACAGAGCAGGTATGTATGACATGTTTGTTAATTAGAAAAAAAAAATCTGCCTTTAAAATCACATTAAGCAGTAAAGAAAGTTGAGTGGAAATATCCAAATAGTTATGACTAAACACCTAGTAGTAGTTAGTCACAATTACCTGGACTTGTTTTAAAATGTTTTAATGCATTTTGCTACTCACCCAAGTTGCTTTCTCAATTCTAATTAGCTTCCAGAACAAACCCCATCATTTATAGTTTCACAGGTAGCTCAGTCACCTTAATCCAGTCGTCATGTTATGCGGCAAGGCAGCTGCTGATTTCCAGGAACCATGTAGGAGGTGTGAAAGGTTGTGACATTTGCTTCTGTTTCCATATATCAAACACCAGGACTCCAAGAAATGTAGAACATGTCAATTGTTCAAAACACTTAGATAAAGGTGTGAATTGTCAAATCACCTGGGTACAGATGTTAACACTGCATTGTATGTGGGGTACAGATGGTTTAGGGAAAGTCACATCAGTTTGATGTAGATGGCTTCTTTCATACCCTTTGGGAATCCGTTATTCTCTCTGTCCACACAATTTGCACTTTCCTTAAAAGAATATCCCTTTTTTCGCTTTACCGCTGCTCTATAGTAAAAATTTTTGGGGGGGGAGAGAAGAGAACTGTATGTAAACAATACAGTTCTCTCCCCTGTCAGATCCAGCACACTGCTTTGTATGGCTTTGCATAGCAGAGCTATGCAAAGCAATGTGCTTACAGTGGAAAGCACAGACATAGACCCAAAGTAAAACACACACAGCACACAGTTAACCCCTTCCTGTACAGTGTCAGTGCTTTCTATTAGCACTGATCACTGTATTGGTGTCACTTGGGGATGTCCATGACACCAAGTCAGTTCCTCCCAGTGTCAGAATTCCCGCCGCAGTCCCTCTATAAGTCGCTGATTGCCACCATTACTAGTAAAAAAAATGCTTCCAGTATATATACCGTCATTTGTAAGTGCTATAACTTTCACGAAAACCAATTAATTTACACGTATTGGGATTTTTTTTTAGCAAAGACGTAGCAGAATATATTTTGCCCTAAATTTATGAAGAAATTCCATTTTTTAAAATGTTTTTATTGGACATGTTTAAAAGCAAAAAAGTAAAAAAATATTTTTTTTGTCGGTATTTTTTGGTTTATAGCACAAAAAATAAAAACCGCAGACTCGATCAAATACCACCGAAAGAAAGCTCTATTTTTGGGAGAAAAAGGATGTAAATTTCATTTGGGTGCAGCATTGCATGACCGGGCAATTGTCAGGTAAAATAACACAGCGCCGTAACGCAAAAAATGGCCCGGTCAGGAAGGGGTGTAAATCCTCTGGAGGGCAAGTGGTTAACCACTTGCCTACCAGGCACTTTTACCCCCTTCCTGCCCAGGCCAATTTTCAGCTTTCAGTATTGTCGCACTTTAAATGACAATTACGTGGTCATGCAACACTGCACCCAAACAAAATTTTTATCTTCTTTTTTGAGACAGAGGTTTTTTTTTTGGTGGCATTTAATCACTACTTAGTTTCTGTTATAAAATTTTGTAAATAAGTAATTTTCTCCTTCACTGATGTGTTCCCTCTGATTGTATACTGGTTGTAAAAAAAAAAATACTCCAAATGTCCCCCCCTGGCACCCCCCTCCCCCAAACAATAGAGCCCCCTCAGATTCCAGGGCCCATGGTCAGTAGGCAAGAGGCTAGCCTGCAGTCCCCTTCAAAAGCCCCTGTCCCGGTTGGGTCTGTCATATTTATTTCCTATTCCAAGTAGGCTAATCAGGTCCCAAACCTCCTACCTGGTCTTAATATGCGTTAGACGGAAGAGTTGTCATCGGTAGGTGAGGGACAGAAGTTGTGGAATCTGTGTCCGATTGCCACCGCTTCAGCTGGGGGTCTTTGCCGTTCCGGGGTTTGGTCTGCTGATGGGGAGAGGGACCAATTGCCCGAACTCCTTGGAGCTCTGAAGACATGGTAGGTGCTAGACAGAGGCCAGCAGCGCTCTACCTTGTTGGCAGCTCTTCAGCTGGGAGGTCTTTACTGTTCTGGGGCTCGATCTGCTGCTGAGGAGAGGGGCTGACTGCCCAACTCCCTGGAGCTCTGAAGTCAGGGTAGGTGCTAAACAGTGGATCTGCTGCTGGGAAGGAAGGATGACCACCTACTCTCCCGGACTGTGGATCTGCCGCTGTGGAGATGAGCTGGCTGCTCCATCACCCGTACCCTCATCCAGCTGCTGGGACAAAATTTCTCTGGTACTGTCTCCCAGGTGCACGGACCTTGCTGGCGAGGGAAGAAAGTTTACTCCACTCTGGCTTGCACTGTTGGAGAGTGAGGATGGCTTCTTCCGGTCCCAGACTGTGAATCTGCCACTGGGAAGGCAGGAAGGTGGGATAACCTAAAAGTCTTAGGTGGACAGGGAGAGAAAACTATGGAAGGGAGATCATGTTGTTGGAGTATCCAGGTTGCATAAGAAGCTAGGGGCTTATTCAGCCCACCAGGCTCCACCTATAACTAAGATAAAATGTTTGGGTATGTTTTTTTTTTCAGGTACTTCCCCCCACAATATACATGAGAGTTACAGAACATATTCCAGAGATTATATCTTTTATTCAAAAAATTATACTTAATGGCCATGCCTATTCTACCTCACAAGGTAAGTGCTTTACTTTTTCTGTTTTTTTTTTTTTTTTTTCGTGACCTGGGAATCTACTGTGCATCAATGGCGTACACAGGGCAATGTGGACACTGTGGTTAAAAAGGGCATCACTAAAGAGAAGGTCATATGAGAGCTTTTATACCAATTTTAAAAAAAAATCTGATGATTGATATGTCAGTTGATGAGTAAAATCATGATTATGTGACATTGGTAAGAGATGGCTTTGATCCTGTCAGACATCTGCAGGCACAGGATAACATGAATCATTTATTGTTTAAATTTGCTAAAAGAATTTTTAGGTATTGTAGAAATGTGTTGTAGGTCATTTACCTTTTCTTTTCCTATTTATGGGCCTTATCTCTCTATCTCCCTTAATTTTGCTTTTTTTATGTTTAGTCTGTTTATATTTTATCTTTCATGGTTCCATCTTTTCCCCCTCATCAACATTTTATTCAAATTGTTAAATAAAACCTTTCTGTTTTCATTACATATCTTTTCTAAGACCCCGTGATGTCATCACTGGCTGTCTGTGCTTCTCTATGCAATTCAGACAGATAATGGCTGCTGTGAGGGACCAGCAGTGTGTTGTACATAGCTTCCTGAAAATATCACAGCAGCCTAGCTCAGTACCCTTCCCAAGAGCCCTCAGCCCTGATGCAAATGATGGGATGGCTGTTGGGAGGATTTATGAAAATATCAAGATTACTTGATTGGTGGCTGTTAGTCTAGAGGAGTGGCATGCCTATACAGGCTGCATTTGCATGCAGAATGCCCTAAGTAACACCCCACATTTTATGGTCCGCCTTCATAAATAAAGAGGTTGTATAGGCTGAAGAGTTTTTACTGCTCCCTCCACAGCCCCCCCTAAAACCTGAGCCCGATCTCGATCCAGTGCTGTGCACGGGAGACTTGGCTCTGCTGGGTCTCTCTCTGGCTGAGACACAGCGGCGGGAGCTGCTGAGTGAGCAGGGGACAGGTTATTAGCCATGCTCTGTGTGTTTTATAGACACACAGAGTGGGGCTCGGTAGTGAGCATACACAAGTGCCCCCCCCCGGAGCAAGAGGCTTGCTCTGGGGGCACTCAGCAGGGGGGATGATCAGGAGTGCCGGCTGGGGACCCAAGAAGAAGTGGATCAGGGCTGCTCTGTGCAAAACCATTGCACAAAGCAGGTAAGTATGAAATGTCTGTTATAAATAAAAAAAAAAAAAAAAAACAGACCCGAGTCTTTAATATCACTTTAAAAGAACTGAAATACAAAAAATGAAAGAGGTGGACCTTCAGGCTGGGATGGAAATGTCTAAATGATGCTGCATGTCCTCCAGCCAGGAAACGAGGCAGGCTCTGTCTGACTTGCTGCAAATGCACACTCTGAGCAGATTACAGTTTTCAATGAAATCAGAGGAAGCAGTATTCGTACAGGAGAGGAGCCTGTACAACTGTGCAAGACTGGTAAGGTAAGGCATTCAGCCTTAAAGCCGAACTGAACTCTGAGAAATACTGACCTCCTCATTCCAGTTATGCGGCAGTTAAATCTCTCGCTGGAGGCTGTCCTCTTTGGGGAATGATGTCATGCCGCACATGCGTACAGGAGTCTGTCATTCCTACAAAGAGAGAATGTACTGGGAGTGCATGCTGAGCTGCGCATGAGCGGCTCACTGTGCGCTCCATAGAAGACTGCAAGCAGACAGGCAAGTGTTTATTTCATAACAGACATGGAGTGTGCTTTCTGTAATAAAGAGCTGTCTGCTTGCAGGTTTTTTGTTAATTGCATTTAGTTCCACTTTAACTTCCTGCAGCCCAACATACTAACACACACACACTCACCTACCTACCTACCTTTTTTTGTTGTCATAGAATAGATGCAGGTTCTTGCTCCCTCCCTACATCCCAGCACCCCCCCCCCCCCCCCACATCCTTCTGTGGTGATTTTCAGATAACTGTGGAGATAAACAAAGGGAGATGGTGGATATGAAGAAAACAGGCTTTCATAGAAAATATATGGAAACTATGAGTAACACTTCCAACAATTAACCCATATTTTTTGTGGTTGGGGAGCAGACTGATGTAAAAAAAAAAGGCATACTTTACAATATAAACTAATTTTGGAATCTGAATAGGACCTTGGTTTACAAGATGTACAAATAATTAGGTGCTAGAAATGAAAGTGTAGAAGAGGTTGTCTTGCTGCCTGAAATAGGGCCATTATAGATGTGACCCTGAAGAAGACTAGATAGTTAAGAAAGTCCTGCACTTCAGGAAAAAAAAATGACCCACTATAATTCAGTTTGTCACAACTGAGTACTGCTGCCAGGCAATAAAATGTGATAACCCCCTACTATGGGGCTAACCCATTAACTGTGAAACAATAAATATACTGTGCAAAAAAACCCCAAAAAAACAGGATAAGATCTATCTTCTCACTGCATTTTCTCCCTATTGTCTGGAACTTTAGTGCACCTCCATTCAAAGTATAAATAACATGCTACAAAAATCATAAAGGAAGATATGTGAAAGTGTAAAATAAGTCCCTCTATTTCAAGTGCCATGCACCATGCTCCGGAAGCCAAAACTACAATACACCTCCGTGTGCACCGCTGGTGTACATGCCCAGACTCAGATGCACTCACCAGATATAGAGACCCCTTTAGTTAACAAGTGGGTCTATAATAGCTTTATATTATATTCCACTCCTCTGCAGCATTTTCTCCTCTTCCACTTCTCGTATATTATTGGACACAAACCAGACTATTCGTGACTGTGTGAGTTACAGTATATGCCACCTGTAGGTGAATGGACAGTGGCAGATCAGTCACACAGGAAATCCCCCCATATAACCCCTCCTACACAGGAACTACATCAGTTTTTGTAGCAAGCAATGAAATTTTAGAAAGGGGAGGGACCTCTTTTACAGGTAAGTACTCCTCAGCGGTACGTGACAGCTGCGGCCAAGGGAAGAATCTTCCGCAGCCCTGTCATCCACTTGGTAAAACCTTGTGAACATATGAAGCAAAGACCATGTGACACCTGATGGTGGACACCTCCTTGACACCTGATGGTGGAGAGTCCAAGATGCCCCCACACTCCTGGTAGAGTGCTCTCTCACCCGAAAGGGTGAGAGCTTATCCTTCAAACCATAGGCTTGAATGATTAACTGACACATCCAATTAGAAATATTTGACCTGGATGCCGTCTGCCCTTCCTGGGCTCTTTTGGCAGCACAGACCTCTTATTTTTACACAGGACATGAAGCACAAGATACAGTAAAAGAACCAAGAAACCTCTAATCCATCTTTTCTCTTCAGCTTCACCTACAGTTAAAATGAGCGAAAAGAGGAGCTGCAGTACTGAATCTTAAATGGAGGTGAAGTCGGAGAGAAGAGAAGAATTGGAGGTTCCTTAGTTCATTCATCTTGCGCTTTATGACCTATTTAAAAATAAGAAGTCTTAAGCATCTGATGAGTCTTTCTGAGTGTTTGAGCACTGTACACAGTGGAATTATGCGGAAAGAAGGATTGCTGTTTTTACACAATGATTATGGACTTTGATGCTTTCTCACAGTGATTTATGGAATTTATTATAAGCTTAATGGAACATTTTGTTTGTGAGGAATGCACATTGATTTGGTTGTGGGAGTATAGCGTTGGTCTATTTATAAAGATTTTTGCATTATCCAGGGAGATAATTTATTTTTCAGCTGTTTGGGTAGACAGGAGTGGAGGGTAATGTGAATTTATAATGAGCATTTGACCCTTTGATTTGGGAAGGGTGGGGGGGTTGTTGAGCTACACTGATCTGCCTTAATATTATGACAACTGACAGGTAAAGTGTATAACATTGATTATCTCGTGACAATGGCACTGATTGTGGCTGGAAAATGTTAGACAGCAATTGAACAAATTGTCCCTGAAGTTGATGTGTTGAAAGAAGAAAAAATGGGAAAGCATAGGGGTTTGAGCAACTTTGACAAGTGACAGGGTCATGGGTGGCCAAGGCTCATTGATGCATGTGGGGAGCAAAGGCTGACCCATGTAGTCTGATGCAATAGAAGAGCTACTGTAGCCCAGATTGCTGAAGAGGTTTAGGCTGGTTCCAATAGAAAGGTATCAGAACACACAGTATATCACAGTTTGTTGCATATGAGGCTTTGTACCTGCAGACTGGCCAGGGTGCCTATTCTGATACATGTCCATTGTCAAAAACACCTACAAGGGGCACATGAGTAGCAGAACCAGAACATAAAGCAATGGAAGTAGGTGACCTGGTCTATTGAATTCAGAAATGGTTTGGGGAACACAACGAGTTTGAGGTTTTGACTTTGCTTCCAATTTCTCCAAATCTTAATCCAATAGAGCATCTGTAGGATGTGCTGGAAAAACAAATTAATCAATGGAGGCCCCACCTTGCAAGTTTATGTTGTGGTACCCCAACCAAAAAGGATCTTCTACTAATGGCTTGGTGCCAGATACCACTGCATACCTTCAGAGGTTTAGTGGAGTCCATGCTTTGAGGGGTTATGGTGGGTGGTCATAATGGTATGGCTAATTGGTGTATTTTTTATTTCTTCATTATAGTCATGATGCCTTTTTTAAAGTGCTTTTACTACCTAAAAATACAACCACAATTTGCAAATCTCATAAACCAATATTTTTTTCATAAATAGATAATGGAAAACATATCAATTGTTTAAACTAAGAAAATGTATTTAAAAAAAAAAGGTCATTTAGAAAGTGATTGCAGCAACACGTTTCAAAAAAGTTGGAAGAGACCAACAAGCAGTTGGGAAAGTAAATGGTACTAACAAGGAAGAGCTGGAAGAACATTTGCAACTAATTAGGTTAATTGGAAACAGGTCAGTAACCAGAATGGGAATAAAAAGAGCATCTTAGAGAGTCAGATGTCTCAGAACTAAAGATAGCAAAAGGTTCACCAATCTGTGAGTAGCTGTGTCTAAAAGTTGTTGAACAATTTCAGAATAATATTCTTCAACGTAAAATTGCAAAGACTTAAAATATATCTTCATCTATAGTACATAATATCATAAAAAGAGTCCAGAGAATCAGAATCTGCAGAATTGTCTGCTTAAGGGACAAGGCTGAAATGCATTATTGGATGTCCGTGATCTTTGGACCCTCAAACAGAACTGCATTAAAGACAGGCACAATTCTGTGATGGACATGACTGCATTGGCTCAGGAATACTTCAAAAAATTACTGTCTGTGAACACAGTGCGCTGTGCCATCCAAAAATGCAAGGTAAAGCTCTATCATGCAAATAGGAAGCCATATCTGAACATGATCCAGAAATGCTGCCATCTTCTCTGGACCAAAGTTCATTTAAAATGGTCTGTTGCAAAGTGTAAAACTATTCTGTGGTCAGACGAATCAAAATTTGACATATCCTCCTAGATTGTAAGCTCGAATGTTCTGTCCCCCCACTATAATGTACAGCGCTGAGCAAACCTTTTAGCGCTATAAAAATACTGAATAATAATAATATTGGCATCCTCCAGGCTAAAGAGGAGAGGGATCTTCCTGCTTGTTATCAGCACTTTGTTTAAAAGTCTGCATCTCTGATGGTATGGGGGGTGCATTATTATGTATGGAATGGGTAGCTTGCACATCTGGAGGGGCACTGTCATATGCTCCCATCCAGACAATGCCTTTTTCAGGGAGGCCTTGCATATTTCAGTATTTATAGTAGAAGAGTGCAGGTGCTCAGCTGGCCTGCCTGCAGTCCAGACCTTTCACCAACTGAAAATATTTGGTGCATCTTGAAAAGAAAAATACAGCAAAGAAGTTCCAGGATTGTCGAGCATTTAGAATCCTATATTAGGTAAGAATGAAACAACATTCCTCCCACAAAATTCCAGCAACTGGTCTCCTCAGTTCCCAGGCATTTACAGAGTGTTGTTAAAAGAAGAGGGGTTGCTACATCGTGAAACATGGCCCTGTCCCAACTTTTGTGAGACTTGTTACTGCCATCAATTTCAAAATTACCTTATTTTATTCTTAAAATGCTACATTTTCTCAATTTAAATAATCGATATTTTTTTTTATTTTGTATTGTCAGTAAAATATGGGTTTAAAGATTTATAAATCACTGCATTCTGTTTTTATGTAGATTTTACACAGCGTCGTAACTTTTTGGGAATTGGGGTTGTAAGTGCTTTATTGTGCATAGTCATTTGATCTAAGTTTCTGTAATCTATTTTACTGGCATAAGAGAGGACTGTTGAAAAGCTTAATGGCATAGAAAAGGTTTACATGGAGTTACACAGATAACCCTTTTTGTTTGACTAGGATCATTTACTTTAATTTGGCATCAGCAAAGGCTCAAGTAAATTGGCTACTATCTACACTCAGCAGTCACTTTTTATTAGCTACACTTTGCTAGTACCAAGAGAATATCCCCCACACCATTACACCACCACCAGCCTAACCGTTGATACAAGGCAGGATGGATCCATGCTTTCATGTTGTTTACGCCAAATAATGAACCTACCATCTGAATGTCACAGCAACCAGTCTGCCCATTCTCCTCTGACTTCTGACATCTACAAGGCATTTTCCTCCACACAGCTGCCAATCTCTGGATATATTTTCTCTTTTTTGGACCATTCTCTGTAAACTCTAGAGATGGTTGTGCATGAAAATCCCAGTAGATCAGCAGTTTTTGAAATACACAGACCAGCTCGTCTGGCACCAACAACCATGCCATGTTTAAAGTTGCTTAAATTCCCTTTCTCCCCCATTCTGATGCTCGTTTTGAACTTCAGCAAGTCGTCTTTACCACATCTACATGCCTAAATGCATCAAGTTGCTGCCATGTGATTAGCACTTTGTGTTACCAAGCAATTGAACAGGTGTACCTAATAAAGGGGCCGGTGAGTGTATAATTTATTATATACTGTACATTGGATAAATGTTTTTTTTTTTTACAAAAAAAAAAATCTTTATCGTTATTTCATGAATATGTTCCTGAATAAGTGGGTGTCATCTCACACTTGCAAATGGGCAGGTTACCCCTGATTTACATTTTGGCTCCTGGCAGTGAATGATGCATACCTCTCTGTGGTGTGATATTTAGTAGCAGGATGGGAGAGACATTACCATTGTTAGAGATGTTCTTTTCCACCTAATCTTGACAGATGTTTTATATATTTGAATTTCTAGAAACTCATTGATCTTGGCATGCGATGCATCCAGGTACTTGTGTGTCTTGGCCAGGTTTCTTCTACATCAGCAAGAGAAAAGTATGCAGAAAAATATGAGCTGGCACCATTTAATGATGGGTAAAGGTCTGAATCCATCATTATTTACATAATGGAAAAAAATACACTTTTTACTTATTACTTTAACCACTTGACAACCGGTCTAGAGCTGAATGATGGCTACAGCTTGGTCATCTAGTTCTGGGAGGGCGTCATATGACGTCCACAACTGCTTCTCCCACATGCCCTTAGGAGCACACACCTGGAGAGCTCTGTGATTGCTGTGTCTGACGGACACAGCTGATCACATGATATGGTAAAAGGCCAATCACAGTTCCCTTTTACCACATGATCAGCTGTGTCCAATGACACCGCTGATCACAATGTAAATACAGTTGCCAGTTATCGGCTGCACTTTCCTCATGCTGAGGAAAGAGGAGAGACGGTAAACGTCAAGTGTATTTAAAAAATCAGAGGCAGTCCAGTGCAGCCCCCAGCCCCAACAGTGTCCATCTCTGCTACAAGTCAGTGACCTTCAGCGCCGCCAGTCAGGGATCATCAGTGCCACCTATCAATGACCATCAGTGCCACATATCAGCGCTGCCTCATCAGTACCCATCAGTGCAACCTCATCAGCGCACATCATTGAAGGAGAAAAATTACCTATATTCATTGAAGGAGAAAAATTACCTATATTCAAAACCTTTTTCTTCATCTTAACTCAATTAATAAATCAAAACATAAAATTAATTAAAGTGCCAAAAATTTAATTTTCAAATCCACCAAAATCTCTCAATTCTGTGTGTCCAACTTCAATATTTCCAGCATTCCGGACCCAGTGATTACCTTGAAAAAATAAAACAAAAAATAGTGTATTACCTTCAAATATGTGTATATACCTTCCAAACAAATAAGTATATACCGTATTTTTCGCTCCATAAGACACACCTGACCATAAGACGCACCTAGGTTTTAGAGGCAGAAAACAGGAAAAAAAATATTGTAAACCAATGGACTGCAGACATATTACAGGAGATGACCAGAGACTGCACATAGTACAGGAGATGACCAGAGACTGCGGACGTAGTACAGGAGATGACCAGAGACTGCGGACGTAGTACACAGTGACAGAGACTGCGGACGTAGTACAGGAGAGACTGCAGAAGATGACCAGAGACTGCGGACACAGTACAGGAGATGACCAGAGACTGCGGACACAGTACAGGAGGTGACCAGAGACTGCGGACACAGTACAGGAGATGACCAGAGACTGCGGACACAGTACAGGAGATGACCAGAGACTGCGGACACAGTACAGAGATGACCAGAGACTGCGGACATAGCAGGAGATGACCAGAGACTGCGGACACAGTACAAGAGATGACCAGAGACTGCGGACAGCACAAGAGATGACCAGAGACTGCGGACAGTACAGGAGATGACCAGAGACTGCGGATAGTACAGGAGATGAACAGAGACTGCGGACAGTACAGGAGATGACTGTTGACCTTTGGGGAGGGGGGGGAGCGGGTACCTGAATTTGACAGGTACCCGCTCTTACTTCAGCGGAGTTGTTCTTTGGTTAGTGTCCACTCTGCAGTGGGACCTTACCTGTCCCTCTATCCAGTGCCGCGCTGTCTTCCCGGCTTCTGTAGTGTGGGCGCTCGGCTTGACAGCCGGGTGCCCAGTGCGCATGAGCGAGAAGTGCTGCGCTTTGTGATTGGTCCAGCGGCTTCTGGAACCTGTCATGTGTCCCAGGTGCCGCCTTACCATTCACAAAGCGCACCGCTTCTCGCGCATGCACACTGGCCACAAGGCTGTCAAGCCGAGCGCCCACACTACAGAAGCCGGGAAGACAGCGTGGCGCTGGATAGAGGAACAGGTAAGGTCCCACTGCAGAGCTGACCGGCCGGCCCTGTATTCTGACACGGCGGCGGTGGAAATACCGGACCGGCCACTCCATATTTGCTCTATAAGATGCACTGACATTTTCCCCCCTTTTTTGAGGGGAAAAAAAGTGCGTCTTATGGAGCGAAAAATACAGTATTATATCTGTGCACAAAGATTAACATAAAATAGATTCAACTGTGAGAACACCTGAATCATGGAAAATCACTTTGTGTACACTATAAATAAACAAATATTTAGTGACAAATTGTGTACACTCAAAAACAAAAATTTAAATAAAAAATTAAAATAAAAAAAAATATATCATTTTTTTTTAAATTAACAAATAAAATAAATAAACCAAATCCATATCAAATAATAAATAAATAAAATTTAAATCAAATAAACATAAAATAAATTAAATGAACATTCCGTGACCACCTCTAAATGGCAAGAATGCATACAATTACTGTCATGGAGTAATATCAAGCCTTAAGGGATAATCAGATGTTATAGCAGTCACTTCCAAGCTCTCAATAGCTGTATGTAGGGTAAACCTTCAATGCACCATCATCCTTCTCTGTTGCCACTTCCACCAATGTGTCCTCTCTACTTCCTCCCACATGGAACTATCTTTTTGGGTTTAAACGTTAATTATTCACTATATGAGTTATATTTAGGTTATAAGTTGCCAAGTGATTTATTTAATAGAAAAATTACCTGTTTGCAAAATTTTATAACAGAAACTAAGAAAAAACTTTTTCAAAAAATGTTGGTCTTTTTTTGTTTGCTTAGTAAAAAATAAAAACCAAGTGGTGATTAAATACCACCAAAAGAAAGCTCTATATGTCTAAAAAATGATAAAAATAGCATATGTTTACAGTGTTGCATGACCGCGCAATAGTCATTCAAAGTGCAACAGCACTGAAAGCTGAAAGTTGGTCTGGGAAGGAAGGGGGTAAAAGTGCCCAGTAGGCAAGTGGTTAAGCAGCATTGTGTTATCATGGTTTTTAATATGCTAGCACAAGATTTTCATAGTCCATAAATAGTGCAGGGCAATATATTCTACTATATATTTCAGACTAATGTTTGTGGTGCAGTCATGCTGTTTAGTTTTAGTTACTGACAACTTTATGACAAATAGTGGTTTTTAACTATTGAAATAAGCCCTAATTGTAAATCATCATCTTTGGCAAATAACAAATCTATGCCGGACAAGGGGTGTGTGTCCCTACTCGCCATCTGGCCAATTGATGAATTTAAAATATAACCTTTATTTAAATATTTAAAATGTATGCTCAACTGTAATTAATGCCTATTGGAGTGGAATATACTGCGCTCAACAATGACTGGATACCATTGCAATTATTTACCTTACATCCAAATGGCCAATTTGGCCATTCTGCCACCATGTGCAGCTGAGCACAACTTCCAGCCACTATGTAACCTTATTTTAATTCTTTATACTCCTGATGAAGCTCTGTTTTTTGAAACGAAACATGTTGAGTTTCTTTTTTTTTTTTTTTTGGGTCTTTTTGAATGCACATGGTATTTACTCCTCTCCCCCCTCTTCTTTTTTTTTTGGAGAGGTCTGTACTGCGTTTTACAGTGCATCATTTGCATTCCTCAAGACAGTGAGGTATTTTTGTCTGGATATGGTGATGTATGGGGCTTGTCCACGAGAGGCTGACATTTAGGCCCGTGGATAAGTGTACCCGTATTACATATCTGTGATGTAAGACAGATTATTCTATCTAATTAGTTTTGTCCATGGAGTAACTCCATTTCCTTAATAGATATTATATATTCAAGCTGATAGGTTTATGCTCAAGCTACAGTGTCTTCTTTATGCCGTCACTTCATCTAAACCGGTATGGTATTTGATCTGGTCTGGTGTTATCAACCATTTGGATGTAAGGTAAATAATTGCAATGGTATCCAGTCATATTGTTTGTGCGCAGTAAATTCCACTCCAATAGGCATCAATTACAGTTGAGCATACGTTTTATATATCTGAACAAAGGTTCTATTTTAGATTCATCAATTGGCCAGACGGTGCGTAGGGACACGCACCCTCGTTCGGCATAAATAGTGGTTTTATAAACCATGCTTGCCATGTAAAATACAAATTGTACCTTTCAATATTTGGGGAATATTTTTTGACAATTTCATCATGTTGATGCACAGTCTTTTTATTATGCTACTATGAAAATGCAACTGTGTGCTCTGTATTCTTAAACTGCCACTGTAACCAAATGCAGTTACGAGAGAGGGCATGTCAGCTTTCAACGTTATTGTTTATTCGAGCAACTGGGACAGTGAAGAGACATCTGAAGACGTGTGCATGGACTGGCAGCTGCTTGCAGTATAGTCTCATGGTCATATTAGAAAGATAATTTTCTGTAATTTTTAGAGCAGGACAAAGATGGCAGGTAGGTTATGGTGTGATGTTCTGTTTAAATTGTCCTGTAAAATGGTAGGTTATGTCAAGGACATTTCATAGCATTATGACCTGATAATGTATTTGTTCTAGATGAAGTCTGCTGCACTCTGGATACTTTTCCAATGACATTCATTAGGGTAAATGTCTTTAACACGACTGTGATCCTGTTTTGTATATTATGCATATGAATTATATCCTATTGCAGTATCTGCATGAGGGATTTTCTTTAATTTAAAGGATTACTGCGCATGTAAAGCAGTTCATTTGAAGTGGACCTGTGCTTTGCTCTTTCAGGCCAGAGTAACAAGTTAGTCTGGTAACATTACTTTACATTTAATTGCTGTAGCCCTGAGAAAAGCCTGGTCCTTCTGGGTATGGAGAGGTTCAATGACACTGCACTGCATTTATGTAGTTACTCAAGGAAGGCAACACAAACTGGAGAAGAAAAGCAGCTTCTGTATAAATTTAGCTAAGCCAGCTTGTCCCAACGTCATTTGTGATGTCTGTAGGAAAGTGCTCATCTGAAGCGTTTGCATATGCCTTGCTTGGTTTTATTCTTGGTCTCCAAGCATGTTTTCTCTACAGTGTATCATGTGAACGTTGTTGTTCTGTGATGTACTAAAGATGTTAGTGTTAGGAAGTATCGTACTTGTATGGTTAGACCATAGTATTTCTACCTATTAAGTTTAATTTTGGGGATTTGCAGAAGATCAGGTTTAGAAATATATTGTTAATAATGAAGTAACGCCATAATTATTAACAACACAATAATTCCAGTACATTTGTATGACAATCTAATAATACATTGCCGAAATTAAATCACACTAAAAGACACAGTAATTTGGTTGGTAGGAAAATCTCAAATGCTGATAGATTGTAGGTATAAGCAAGTGCCTTTCTATGTTGCTTATTAAAAATTTACATTGTGTGTGATTAACAGTATTTGTGCCTGACTTCTGTTACATTAATCAACAGAAACTCAGCTAAGCATTAAAGTGGCCATACTGCATAATCGCCTAATTGCAGCCAGTAAAACAAGCCCATGAACTGCATATACTATATAGCAACAAATGCAGCTATGCTAAAATCACAACATCCACACAATTGCCTAAACCCAAATTCTCTATAATCTACTGCAAGCACAGCACACTAGGGAGTCTATGTATAAAATAAATGTATATATATATATTTGCAGGAATTCCCAGTATGTTCTCTAATACTATGACTTCCTATGATTGTCATCACCATCTAGTGTCCAAAATGCAGTATATTTTCTGTTTGTGGTATTTCAGAAAAAAAAAATATTTCAGTTTAACCCGCTAGATGGAGCTGACGGTCATAAGAAGTCATATTAGAGAATATACAGGGAAAATTAATGCAGCCTTAACGCTTGGGATGTTCATCTAACAAATGTTTTATAAACGGGTATACGATGCAATGCACGAGAAATGATTAGAGACTGTCAAAAGCTTTGCTGGGCATGTCCCCTTGGGTGTGCCCCTTTATTTCTAAGCCACTCTGTGGGTCGTCAATTATTTGCTAGTGTCCTGAGATGATGGACCTCTTAATTGGTATGGTGTTTTCTGTGCTTAACTAATTGTTTTTATTTTCCCTTTAATTTATTTTGAATTCTTCAATCAACTCTTCACTGCCTTCTACCATAACAATAGAAGCAATGTATGCTAGATATGAAAAGATTTACTAATATTATTATTAACTCTTTTTACTGGTCATGAATATTAAGAGTCCTCTCAGTGGCATCACATTGCATGCCTACCTCAGTTCTCAGGTTCTCTGTACAGGTTGTCATTTTTTCATGCTTTCTTACCCAGACCCTAGGCTCTGGATTCTCTTATGTGCCTATATGAAGCAAACTGTTTGAAGGTGCAGACACCCTCCCAGATGCCAATGTGTAGTGATTACTTTGGACATTTGCTAGGGATAGGAGGTGGGCAGAGTAAGGGGGCGAAAGGCTACTTTTCCCAGCTTGGCACTACTTTTTGAGTTGTGATCAGTGTGTAGTGTGGCCTGTCGCTGATTGCTGCCATTACTCGTATAAAATAAAAATTCCAGTATATATACCGCCATTTGTAGAAGCTATAACTTTCACGTAAACCAATTTAATTTACATGTATTGGGATTTTTTTAAATTCTTTTACTGGATATGTTTTTATAGCAAAAAGTAAAAAAAAATATAGTTGTTTTTTCTTTTTCTTTTCAAAATTGTTTCTTTTTTTGTTTATAGCACAAAACCCCCCTCCAAAAAAAAACCCACACAGGTGATCAACACATGTTGCATGATCGTGCAATTGTCAGTTAAAGTAATGCAGCTCTGTATGGCAAAAAAATGGCCTGGTCAGGAAGGGAGGTAAATCCTCTGGAGGGCAAGTGGTTAAAAAAAGTGACAGGTTAATGTTTCAGTAAGTCATATATGACTATCTAAATGCTATTCTTTGAGATATGACCAATTGTAATGCAGCTTTCTTACGGTTTCAGATCTTGCCTTGATACTAACAGTTCCATGTATTTTCCACTTCCTACCAATATTTCTGACAGTTACAATTGCTAGGTTGATTAAACTGTTGCGTCATTTGTTGGTATATATTTACTCAGAAATCAGTTCCCTGCTTTGTAAGGGCAAAATATCTATCTGCATTAAGCTAGATTTGATATAGTGATCAGAGAGGTCCCATCAAACCTGAAGGGATCTTCCAAAAGAGCTAATAATCTAATACAAGCATGGGGTTCACAGTTTAGCAGCGATTTAACTTTGCAATTGCCTAAAAGAATATGTAAACCCAACATTTAAAATTCCTGATATATGCCTGCTGTACCATGTACTTGTATGAAACAGTATCCTGTTCTTTTTGTATTGCTTCCTTTGTGTGAAAATCCCTGATGTTCCTGCCAGTGCCTCTGCTTTTCTATTAAAAGCTGACCACACTAAGCACGAGAACACACAGATGTCAGTTCTCTAGCTGTGCTAGGAACTCGGCCTGCTTTCCTGCAATGACCAAACTTGTCCTGACACATGCCTGTGCACAGCCATTTTACTGGGAAGATCAGTGTACTGCTGTTTCCTCTCCCCCAGCTCTTATGCAGCTGAGGACAGGGGGAATGTGATCACTTTATAAAAAAGGGGAAAGAAGGTATTTATAATTTTTTTTGTCTATCTGTACACAAATGTTTTGCCTTTTATTTTAAACTGAATAGGTTGTTTTACAAGGTGAGGGTTTACAATCACTTTAATGTCTACTAATTTGCTTTGTGTTCAGGAAATGTTTACTTCGATGTCCAGTCTATTGGAAAAAGATATGGGAAGTTTACTGGTACTTTTTCAGATATAAATACTGAACCAGGTAATTTGTTAGTAGTACATAAGCAAACATACTGTATAGTATAGTTCTTGTTATGTTCATGGAATATGACTGTGCTTCGTTGCACAGTTATAAACACTAGCTATACAAATACTGAATGCTTTATGTGTAATCTGTATTTCTAAAAACCTTCTGTATACCGTATCAAATGAAAGATGCAGAAAAATGTGTTTTATGGCCAGTCTGATGAAAACTAGCTTTGTCATTTTGTTTTTTGAATGTGGAGAGCCGGAGAGAGAATATACAATCCAAAAAAAGATGCGTGTAGGACCTGCATAACTTAAAATAATTACATTTATACAACTTCAAAAGGATAAGTGTACATTTGTATCAATAAGCTTGGTTCCACCAGTCCCAAAAAGTCAGTGGAAGCACCTAACTCCATCATGCAGGAAGTTTATACTGTCCAGAGCTGGCACTGAGGCTGGATCTATCTGATCTGGGGTTGAAGTAAAAACAAACAAACCAAACACTAGCATGTATTAGGCTGTCATTAGATTAGGGTGATTAAACAGTACATGTTCCCCTTACATCAGATATCCCTATCAGGGTTCCCTTTTGTATCAGGAGTCCTCATCAAAGTCCCCTTTTATATCAGGTCCCCATCAGAGTGCCCCTTGCATCAGATGTCCTCTTCAGAGTGCTCCTTTATATCAGGTGTCTCCATCACAGTCCCCCCCCACATCAATTGTCCCCATCAGAGTGCCCCTTTAGATATGATCAGTTATCCCCATCTCAGTGCCCCCTAAGATGTGATCAGTTATCCCCATCAGAGTGCCCCTGTCAGGGATCTCGAAACAAGCAGGTCGGGACTTAGATTCTCCGCCCTGGGAAATTCTGGTCTGTGGAACGCTATAGGCTACCACAGGTTGGTCCCTAACAGCCCCCTTACAACAGGTGACCCCATTAGATTTCCACCTTACTTCAGGGTCCCCAACAGAGTTCCCCCTTACATCAGGTGTGCAAATCAAAGTGCCTCCTTACATCAACTGTCTGCATCAGACTGGCTCATGGATAAGTGGATACACTGAGACCTTGGGGGCACTGATAAAATGTGGGGGGGGGGGGTCAGCCCTCCCCAGCACCGCCCTTCTCAACACCGCCCTAGATCCAGCTTTGGCTGGCACCATAATGACAAAATAAATCTGTGGCCGCACATCTGATAAAATCCCCTTTATTGAATTATCGTCCAAATACACTCTAGAAGAGGGCTAACGCATTTCACACTGATAGCGCTTAATCATAGCTTATACACTAAAGTCTCACACCGGTATACATACAGTAGTCAGCATAAATGAGTACACCCCAACAGATTTGTAAAAAAAATCTTTACTTTCCTTTCAGAATCAACATTTTCTATGGGATACTACACTACAAAGTACTCCCACAAATGAGGGCCATTGTTGCAAACAAGATTTGGTAATTTGCACACACTAAAAAGTATTTTTCCTAACAAATTAATTCAAGACCATGTTGCAAAAATGAATACACCCCAATGAAAGTCTTTGGAGCAAAGCTAAATTTTAGACAACAAAATCCTAATTAACAAGAATTTAACTACAAGTGAGTCGAATTATTCATTAAACAGGTGTCCAGCAGACAGTTGATTATAACAGGGCATTACATAACAAAGAAAACCCCTTCCCATTTCATGCTGTTAACAATGGCACCACAAGGAAGAGAAATGTCACAAGGCCTGAGAAAGAAAATAAATTATTTACACATGAAAGGTGAAGGCTACAAGAAGATCAGAAAAACTTTACTTTTCAGTCAGAATCCTGTAGCAAACGTGACACAAAAATTTAACAACGATGGAACTGCAGACATCTCACAGAGATTTCCAGGCCATCCATGGAAGCGAACACCTTTACAGGAGCGTCTTCTGATAAGAAGGGTTGAAGAAAATCTCCATACAAGTTCACTGTAGTTAGCTAAAGAAGTAGAAAGCCAAACTGGGGTGATTGTTTCCCATGACACAATACGGCGTACATTGCAGAGAAGTGGCATGCATGGGTGTCATCCACGAAGGAAGCCTCTACTAAAGCCCATGCGCAAAAAAGCCTTCATATAGTTTGCCAGGGCCCATGCTGAAAAAGAAGATGACTACTGGGACTCTGGAGTGATTAGACCAAGATAAATGTTTTTGGAACTGAGTTTCAAAATTGTATGGCGTCACAAAGGTGAGGAATACAAAAAAAATGCATGCTGGTGGCAGTGTCCTTCTGTGGGGGTTGCATGAGTGTTGCTGGTATCAGGGAGCTGCATTTCATTAATGGTATCATGAATTCACAGATGTACTTCTCTATATTGAAAGAGAAGATGTTACCATCATTCCGTGCCCTTGGTTATCATGCACTTTTCCAATATGACAATGATCCAAAACACACATCTAAGGCCACTGTTGCATTTCTGAAGAAGAATAAGGTATAAGTGATTTAGTGGCCAAGTATGTCTCCTGTTTTGAACCAAATCGAACACCTATGGGGATTTCTGAAGGGACAGGTTGAGCATCACTCTCCATCCAGCATCCAGGCTTTAAAAGAGGTATTTCTTGAAGAATGGAAAAAGATGTTGCAATATGTCACCAACTTGTTCATTCCATGCTTAAAAGACTTGGTGCTGTCCTTACAAATCATGGAGGTCATACAAAATACTAGATGTAGTAGTTTTTGTTGTGGGGTGTATTCCTTTTTGAATCAACTAATTTGAGTAAACCTGAAGATTTTGTAATCTAAATTATATTATTAACCTTACTTTCATGTAATGAGCTAAACAAATGTTCTTGGAAATTGTTCTTGTGTTCATTGAGACATTGATTAAAATCTTACTTTTGAAAGGGGTGTACTCATTTATGCTGAGCACTGTATTTGCAATTATACTAAGTGATCTCTTAATTGCAAGAACCTGTGCCAGATAATTAAATCACAGCCGCTGACAATTGTCATTGACTGGCTATGCTCCCTAACACATGTAGATAACAACAGTTCCTTACTACAACATAAATAAAACATGTAAAACCAAAATAATTACGTAATAAACATATCAAAAGGAAACATACATGTAAATGAAAGGAATTTTTCATGTTAGTGTACACAAACACAAAATAAACAATTGACAAATGTCCAGCTGTGGGCAAACAATAAGGAAAGCCAGGGAACTCAACCACAGGGGTTATGCCAATATATACTATGCTAATTTATTATTCATAGTAATGTGAAATATCCCACTCATCATTGGGTTCCACCGACTTTCTAGTACCCAAACTAAAAATCCAAAAAACCTCTCTTTTTGCACAGGAATTTTAGTTAATCTTTTCCCCTCTTGGGGTCCTTAATTTTTGCCACACCTTATGTACAGAAAGCTGAGGAATCACCGCCATGACATTCAAATTGCTGTGCAAAAAAGAGTTTATTTGGACTTTTAGTTTTGGTACTAAAAAGTCGGTGGGACTCAACCATGAGTGGGATATTTCACATCCTTATGAATAATTAGTATAGTATATATTGGCATGACCCCTATGGTTGGGTTCCCTGGCTTTCCTTATTGTTTGTTGACACCTGGACATTTTGGTTTTAGATGTTTTATTTATGTTGTAGTAAGGAATTGTTATCTGGGACTATTCATGTGTTAGGAGCATAGCCAGTCATTGACAGCTGTCGGCAGTAATTATACGGCACAGGTTTTTACAATTAAGAGATCACATAGTGTGTGTGTGTATATATATAGATATATATATATCTACATATAGATATATATATCTATATGTAGATATATATCCACACACACACTATATTGCCAAAAGTATTACGACAGCTCTCTAAATCATTGGATTCAAGTGTTCCAATCACCTCCATGCCACAGGTGTTTAAAATCAAGCACCTAGGCATGCAGACTGCTTCTACAAACATTTGTGAAAGAATGGGTCGCTCTCAGGAGCTCAGTGAATTTAAGCGTGGTCCCCTGATAGGTTGGCACCTGTGCAATAAGTCCATCCATGAAATTTCCTTGCTGCTAAATATTCCATGGTCAACTGTTATACCAAAGTGGAAGCAACTGGGAACAACAGCAACTCAGCTACGAAGTGGTAGGCCATGTAAGATGACACAGTGGGCTCAGCGCATACTGAAGTTCATAGTGCGTTCATAAGACTGGGATGCCATTAAAGTTTCTTGTGCGTGTAAAGGCAGGCGTCCCAATACTTTTGGAAACATAGTGTACTTACAATCATAATTATATAAAAACTTCATAGAATGGGTTTCCATGGCCAAGCAGCTGCATCCAAGCCTTACATCACCCATATATATATATATATAATGCACCTGTGTGAGACTTTGAGACATAGTATATAAGCTATGATTAAGCTCTGGTGTCAGCGTGAAATGCGTCACCTGGGTTGCTGTTTTCCATCTTCTACTGTATTGTGGAGTGTATTTGGACGATAATTCAATAAAGGTGATCTTATCAGATGTGTGGCCACGAGATTTATTTCTTTATTATAAAGACTACAATGAGCAGGGCCAGCACCTGTTAGTGTGCATGGAGGTAAGATAGGTGGAGACCGACCTGGAGGAGCCATGTTTGTTCTTCTGTTGCTTGGCTGGCATGATGTTTTTCTCTTTGAGAGATTTAACAGCCTTTGAAACTGCATGCATTCAGTGGGATTTACCTTGCACGTGCATCAGCTAACAGCCATCTTTTCAGTTATCTTCTGGCCTCTCCCAGTAAATGCATGTAATTTTAAAGGCTGCCTTACATTGCCTGAGCACAGGTTTGCATTGACTTCATTCTCCTAATTCTGCCAAATTCTGCCAAATTCTTACTTGGACATTGTTAGCCAGACTTTATGATGGTTTGTTAACATATAACATCATTTAAATTTTGCAGGTATTGATCAACTGAGTTTTGCTTTATCTGTTGATAAGCTGTTAAACATATTTAGTTACGTTACTACTCTCATAATTATTTTGCATTTCTCAACTCTTATGTTGGGACAGCTGACAGCAACAAAAGGTCTCCCAGAGATTTTGCTTTGTGGAAATCTGCTAAACCTGAAGAGCCTTTCTGGGTTTCTCCATGGGGGAAAGGAAGACCTGGTTGGCACATTGAATGTTCCACACTTGCAAGGTACATAGATGTAAAAGTACATGTCAGCTGAACAAAGGGCTCTGTAGCAAATGCCAGAAAACTTTATTTTGCCTTTTTTTATTTGCACAAGGATAATATTGTCTTTTTAGTCTGAGGTTCCCATGGAGTTTTCTTCTCTTAGTAAATGGAGGAGTAGTGTACAAGGGTAAGGATTAGTACCAGGGCTGAAAATTATTCTATTTAGAGCTGAAACAACTAATCAACATAATCAATTATGAAAGTAATTGTCAACTATTTTCATAATCGACTAGTTGGTCAGCTGATTAGTTGGCCTGCATACAGAATGCATGTTTACATATCAGAAAATATAGTGCAGCACACATATAGCTCAGTACACACTCCATACATGTCAGTAAGTGCCTGAGAACTTGTGAATGTGTGAGGAGCAATGCCTCATGGGACATGTAGTCCTGGGCAGGAGGAGGAAGTTATTCTAAAGGCAGAAGTTTTTTTACCTTGCTTTCGGGGCATTCTATACTATACTTTGCAGTTTGCTATACTCTGGAGGCAGGAAGAGCCAGAAGTGTGGTGGTGGGGGACCCCAGAAGAGGAGAATCAGGGCTGCTCTGTGCAAAAGCATTGCACAGAGCAGGCAGGTATGACAAGTTTGTAGTTTAGAAATAAAAATCCAAGGTTTACAATCACTTTAAAACCACTTGCCTACTGGGCACTTATACCCCCTTCCTGCCCAGGCCAATTTTCAGCGCTATCGCACTTTGAATGACAATTGCAACATTGTACCTATATTACATTTTTTCACACAAATAGAGCTTTCTTTTGGTGGTATTTAATTGCCGCTGGGTGTTTTATTTTTTGCGCTATACACAAAAAAAGAGAAAAAAGTTTGGGAAAAAAAAGATTTTCTTTGTTTTCATTATAAAATTTTGCAAACAGGTAATTTTTCTCCTTCACTGATGTGCATTGATGAGGCTGCACTGATAGGCAGCACTGATGGGCACTGGTGAGGTGGTATGGTTAGGCAGCACTGATGATGCTGCACTGATAGGTGGCACTGATGATACTATACTGATATGCAGCAATGATGGGCCCTGATAGGCAGCACTGATGGGTGGCACTGCTGGGCACTGACTGGTGGCACTAATCGGCGGCACTGCTGGGCACAGGTGGGTGGCACTGATAGGCACTAGTGGGTCATCAGTGCTGATCTGTTCTCTGACCAATTGCCGGTTATCAGCAGTACTTTTCCTCACGCTGTGACAGTGTGAGGAAAGTGCAGCCAATAACCGGCAACTGTATTTACCCGTTGATCTGTGATATTTGACACAGCTGATCATGTGGTAAAAGGCCGCTGTGATTGGCCGTTTACTACATCATGAGATCAGCTGTGTCCTTAGGACACAGCAATCACGGAGATCTCGGGTGCGCGCCGCTGGGGGCGCATTCTGGGAGGACGTCATATGACGCCCCACCCAGAACTGGACAGCCGCGCTGTAGCGTCGTTCGGCTATAGCACGGTTGGCAAGTGGTTAAGGGCTCTGTGCAGGGAAGATCAGCATCTGAACCCAGAGAAGCTGGAGGCCGATAGACCAGTGGTCATATAATGCATTACAATTAAAGATAAATTAAAGGTTTACCAGTACTATGCAATATATTTAAAATGATTTATATCCATGAAAAAAAGTCTTAGCCTTTATTACTACTTTAATATAAAAGATCCCCCTCCTTTCACCCTTCACATAGCTATATTATATATATGTATGTGTGTGTGTATACAGTGGGGATCGAAAGTTTGGGCACCCCAAATAAAAATTTGTATTAATGTGCATAAAGAAGCCAAGGAAAGATGGAAAAATATCCAAAAGGCATCAAATTACAGATTAGACATTCTTATAATATGTCAACAAAAGTTAGATTTTTTTTCCATCATTTACACTTTCAAAATAACAGAAAACAAAAAAATGGCGTCTGCAAAAGTTTGGGCACCCTGCAGAGTTAATATCTTGTACTGCCCCCTTTGGCAAGTATCACAGCTTGTAAACGCTTTTTGTAGCCAGCCAAGAGTCTTTCAATTCTTGTTTGAGGTATCTTTGCCCATTCTTCCTTACAAAAGTCTTCCAGTTCTTTGAGATTTCTGGGCTGCCTGTCACGCACTGCTCTTTTAAGGTCTATCCATAGATGTTCAATTATGTTGAGGTCAGAAGATTGTGAAGGCCATGGCAAAACCTTCAGTTTACGCCTCTTGATGTAATCCCCCGTGGATTTCTAGGTGTGTTTAGGATCATTATCCATTTGTAGAAGCCATCCTCTCTTTAACTTCAGCTTTTTCACAGATGGCATCAAGTTACCATCCAAATTTGCTGAAATTTTATTGAATCTATTTTTCCTTCTACTTGTGAGATGTTCCCTGTGCCACTGGCTGCAACACAACCCCAAAGCATGATTGATCCAACCCCATGCTTAACAGTTGGACAGAGGTTCTTTTCATTAAATTATGTGCCTCTTCTTCTCCAAACGTACCTTTGCTCATTCCGGCCAAAAAGTTCAATTTTAACCTCATCGGTCCACAGAACTTGTTTCCAAAATGCATCAGGCTTGTCTATATGTTCATTTGCAAAGTTCAAACGATGATTTTTGTGGCGAGGACGTAGAAGAGGTTTTCTTCTGATGACTCTTCCATGAAGACCATATTTGTACAAGTATCTCTTTATAGTGGAATAGTGTACCACAACTCCAGTGTCTGCCAGATCTTTCTGGAGGGATCGTGCAGTCAAACGTGGGTTTTGAATAGTTTTTCTCACAATCCTGCGAGCTGTTCTGTCTGATATTTTTCTTGGTCTTCCAGATGTTGCTTTAACTTCCACTGTTCCTGATGACTGCCATTTCTTAATTACATTCCGAACAGAGGATATTGACATCTGAAAACGCTTTGCTATCTTCTTATAGCCTTCTCCAGCTTTGTGAGCGTCAACTATTTTCAGTTTCAGTTTTCTAGACAACTGCTTAGAAGAACCCATGGTGCTGATTGTTGGGGCAAGGTCAGATGAGTCTGGGCATTTAAAACCTTTGAGATTGACATCACCTGGTCTTCCCAGACGATGATTGAGAACAATCCATGACACTGGCAGATCTCAGCTTTGCAAAGGGGGCAGTGCATGCTATAAATTCTGCAGGGTGCCCAAACTTTTGCAGACGCCATTTTTTTGTTTTCTGTTATTTTGAAAGTGTAAATGATGGAAATAAAATCTAACTTTTGTTGACATATTATAAGAATGTCTAATCTGTAATTTGATGCCTTTTGGAGATTTTTCCATCTTTCCTTGGCTTCTTTATGCACATTAATACAATTTTTTTAGCTGGGGTGCCCAAACTTTTGATCCCCACTGTGTGTATATATATATATATATATATATATATATATATATATAAATTTCCCCTGTTTCACACTATAAATTAACCCCTTATAGTAGTGATTATCTGCTGCTGTTGTACTATAAATGGCTAATTTTTTAATTTTTTTTACCTCATCATGACTGGTGATGAAAAAAAAAAGCATGCTGCTGCTGCTTGTATCATGCCATATGACAAGGGAGTCTATACGAATAATTTTTTTAAAAAAAATTTTACATGTTAACTAAATTATAGATTAAACTTTCTTTGAGGTTTTTATTCGATCAATTGAAACAATAATCGGCCAACTAATTGATTACAAAAATAAGCAATAATACTAGCAGTAATACCCATTGGTTTACATTTATTTGAAAGTCTAATGTTTTTCCATATAATGAGCTGTTCAAATATAGAAAACTAGGGCTGTTACCAATAGCAACCAGTAGGCAGAGGCCTCTTTTAGCTTTAACCATTTATTATTACTGAAATGCAATAAACTGGTTGCTGTACCAGGAACACATTTCAACACAAGTTGTACAAATACTGAGCTATGTACGTAGAAACTCAATGCATTTTTATAGACCATTTTATGTAAAATACAATGGCCAGTCTGATGAAATCCACCATTCGTGTTTTATGTGTAAGGCACGCAATAGATGATGCGATTTTCTTTCTGCAACCATGGAGGAAAGAAAATTGCTGGATTCACCCATCAGCACTGTCAGTGTTGATGGAGAAATTATTCTGCAAAACTACTGTGTTCTCCTCTGGGTGGGTGGGTTGGGGTGCAGGGAGCCGAGATTATTGCTAGCAGCTATAGCCTGTGGCAATAGTCATGTAAAAATCCAACATGCTGGTTGTACCCAAAATGATCAATGGATCCACTTTGGTACAATCAGCCTGCCCATGCATGGATTGAATCTTGGCCAGTCCCTGCTGAACTGACCAAGATTCAAACCATCTGTGGCTGCTTAAGATGCAAGTGGGGACATTTGGAATCAAAATGTAGGACCTGAATACCTGTGAAAACAATTACTTTCACATGCAGTGCTGGAGCACAGTGCACAATAGATAAAGAGTACCTGTGTAGTTTTAGCAAGCCTTTAACATGCAAGAAATTATCAGCTAGATTTGTTCTGTATAATTGACTGTATCGGGGCATTATTAGCAAGAATAATGATGACCTTTAGGCTTCCAAAATAGTTGTTAAATCTTTTAGGTAATGTATAGTGAAGTATACTTGTTTATGGTGGTACTTTCTATTTCCCTTACAGCTCTGTGTTTGGGAAACAGCTTGACATTCACACTGGTGGGATTGATCTAGCCTTTCCACATCATGAAAATGAGATTGCTCAGTGTGAGGCCTATCACCAGTGTGAACAGTGGGGAAACTATTTTCTTCATAGTGGTATGTATCCTGACAAAATAAGTACAAGATAAATGTTTTGTTTGAGTTTATTCTCAAAAGTTATTTCAATATGGAAGGCATTGGGGCATGAGCTACTTCTGTTTAGTTCTCAGTCCTGCTTGGCTTACACATTCCATGTCAGACTTATTTACTTTACTTTTACTTGCATTACTTATTGATATCCAGTATGGCTGTGGTTGATGGAACATAGCTCAAAAGGAGGTTAAACACAAATGCACGGTTTTTGTATATATTAAAAAGACAGCCTTAAGGGCTTGTTAACGCCAAATCGCAGTATGTGTGCATTTTCCACACCAAGGTTCAAAACACACTGGGTGTGCAACAGCTGTGGGTGTCAATACATCCCTAATGACACTCCAGACTCACAAAAGCAATGTTTGTCTGCAGTGAATTGCATGGTATTGCATTACCATGAGATTTGGTGCAGTGCACTTTTGAACAGTAGTGCATGCACTCCTTTCTTGAGATCCAGTGCGATTTCAGCCCATTCGTATGCACACACTACTAGTGAGAGAAGTAGAATATTCTGTTTGTGTGGACTATAATAGAACTACATAAAGGTATATATTTCTTTTTGTCAGTATCATTGGTGAATTGGCCACATTGCATAAATATTAGTAAGTACCTTATAGCTGGACAAATCTTAGAATTAAAGAACTAAAATGAGTAGCCAGTACACCTTCAAAATGTTAGCTTGTATCTGTTATTAGTCTGTTTTGTGGTTCAACAGAAGCAGATGTTTTTAAGCTATTTAAATTTGCCTGTTGGCTTCTAACTACAACTATAAGTTTTACTAGCTCCTAAATTTATATATTAATTTAAATATACACTATATTGCCAAAAGTATTGGAACATCCCTCCAAATCATTGGATTCAGATGTTCCAACCACCTTCATAGCCAACGGTGTATAAAATCAAGCACCTAGACATGCAGACTGCTTCTACAAACATTTGTGAAAGAATGGGTCGCTCTCAGGAGCTCAGTGAAGTCAAGCCTTTTTACCATGATAGGTTGCCACCTGTGAAATAAGTCCATCCGTAAAATTTCCTTTCTGCTAAATATTCCACAGTCAACTGTTAGTGTTATGATAACAAAGTGGAAGCAACTCAGCCACGAAATGGTAGGCCACGTGAAAGGTCAGCGTATGCTGAAGCACAAACCAACTGTCTACAGAGTCATTAGCTAAAGACCTCCAAACTGCGTGTGGCCTTCAGATTAGCACAACCGTGCGTAGAGAGCTTCATGGCATAAGACTGGGATGCCATTAAAGTTCGTGTGTGTAAAGGCAGGCGTCCCAATACTTTTGGCAACATAGTGTACCTACAATCACCTATAATAAAATTGTTAGTCATTTCCCCTTCTTTGTAAGAACATGGCATTAGCCCATTAATTTATATTTCAGTTGTACAGCATAGGTATAAAAAGTAGGAGGAGGAAGCAACTCAGAAGTAACTGATTGGTATTACATAGACAGGTTGCAAAATCAACAAAAGATGTACTTGACTTGATTCCTGCCCCCACCCCCTTTAAATAATTCTAACTGCAGAGCTGTGAAGCATAATTCCATTTGGATGGTTGTATGAGGAAAAGAAGTAGGGCAATGCAGCAGCCATTCTCTGAATTCCACTACAATTAATGTAAGATTAGCTGGCACAAATCCTTTATGCTTAGCTGCCAATTACTCTTAAAGTTTTATTTTTATTATGAATACAGACATTGAAAGTAGGGCCTACAACAACACTAGTGCAATCCTTTGAAGATTTTCTAGCATTGGCTGTAGTAAAATGTATTATCATGCATGGCTAGACATACACAGATGCTTAGCATTATGCTAAAAGGAACCTTACACACAGAGTATTTAGCATTGCCATGGCTGCATGGAGTTGTACTGCATCCTCAGATAGACCTTTCCTTTTTTTTTCATGTGTACAGAGCTGTAATACAACCACAACATTCTCAGGGCTATGTCACATTTACAGTATGTGCATGCAGAGATGCATGGTAGTAAGGTATATGATTGTTCTAATGTGCTTTTATAGTGACACCAAACTGTGGTTAAAAAAAAATTATGTATTTTCAAGTATGTATTCTCAGGGATGTGCAAATTATATCGCCCAATGCCCGGGACATGCAGTTGCAGGCGCCGGGCAGGTAGTTTTTTTTTTTTTTTTTTTTAACATTTAGCCCTTCTGCGGGCAAGCAGCAGGGCTTGTCAGATGGAAGAATTCAGGTGGCTCAGCTGCCCACCCAATTGCTTTCACACACTGCACTAAAGTGCCTGCCCCTGGCCCCCCTGTGCGCACACCTCTTTTCTGATTAAATAAACTGTATATTTATTTCAGGTACTTATATAGCGCTGTCAATTTACGCAGCACTTTACACATATATATTGTACATTCACATCAGTCCCTAACCCTCACGGGGTGTACAATCTAAGGTTCCTAACTTACATTCATACATACACATATTAGGGCCAATTTCGACAGGATCTAATTAACCTACCTTTGGAGTGTGGGAGGAAACTGGAGCACCCGGAGGAAACCCACGCAAGCACAGGAAGAACATGCAAACTCATGCAGGAGGCGCCATGGTCGGGAATCGAACCCATGACCCATTTACTGCAAGGCAGACGTGATAACCACTAAGCCACTGTGCCGCCCATATGACAACATTTGGTCCAAGATGCACCTGTACCTCTTAGATTTCACCCAAAGCTCCACCTTGTAGTTTATTGCTATCTGTGAACCAACCAGTGCCCTTGTTTACTTTACCATGGTAAATCTTGACTGTGAAATTGATCTACATCCAGCAACTTTTACCTCCATCTCTCACATGATTCCAAAATGTAAATCCTTTGTAATGGATTAATAAAGCTGGTTAAGTTGTTTGTCATCTATGCTAAGCAGAGGCATCCATTTTATGGTATTGCTCATACTTCCAGGATGATACATTCTAGTGCATTAATAAAGCTGGTTAAGTTGTTCCCATCCTCTCTGCTAAATAGAGTCAGCCATTTTGTGGCATTGCTCATACTTCCAGGATGATAATACATTCTTGTGCATTAATAAAGCTGGTTAAGTTGTTCCCATCCTCTCTGCTAAATAGTCAGCCATTTTGTGGCATTTCTCATACTTCCAAGATGCTGCTGCTTTCTAGTTGATTAATAGGCCAATTCTTCATAAGTTCCACACTGTCTCCAGTGTGTATTACTCATAGATGCATATTTAAACACACCTGAGGATATTCTAGTTTTCCTTAAATCTTGCCTTGTGTCCATGTGGATTTCGTTTTATTCCCAGTTCCCTCCTCTGCACGTTAATCATTTTTTCTATCACAGTTTTTCTTTGCTTTCCTTGCGCTATGAAGGTGACTTCATGGGCCACTTTTATTTTTATTCCCTTCTTTACTTTCCAACTTCTGTGTGTCAGTACATTTTATTTTATTTTTAAGTAAAGTTTTCTCATTCAGATTTATTTTAAATGACAAAATGAGGACATTATTTTTTCTCTTCTTCTATTTAGGACATTTACATCTGAAAGGAAATGAGGAGAAAATGTCAAAGTCTTTGAAAAACTACATTACAGTGAAGGTAATACCTGTTTCCACTGGTATTAGTGCTTCCTTCCTTTATTCCCATACTGATTTTCAGCTAATGACTGAGCCTTTCCCAAACGGCTTTACTGTGGTGTTTGGGAATCACATCTGCTGTATATAAGCTACAAATAATTCATATGGGAGTGCATTGTTTTTTCTGTTATCAGTCTGGAAACAAAACCTGCTGCCTTGTCTAGCATTTAAATTAGTTTTAATTCAGAGGTACACTGAGGTGAAAATCTCTTTATACAGTACAAATGTGTTATATGGATTCATGTGCCAAACATCTGTCAGGATGAGTGTGTCATTTGGAAATGTTCACCACTAAGTGAAGTATATCCTTGATCATTGCTTTGTTTTTCTTCCCAAACCTGTAGAGCATTATCTCCCTAGGCTGGCTTCTATCCCAGCCTACTCATAGAATAATAATTATGTCCATAGTTTCCTCTTAAATGGTCCATTTGACTGTTAAAGGCTCTTCAGCCTTTACAAGAAACCATGAAATTTCCATCTGGGCATATCGTGGAAGCCGGGTAGCCAGAGAATTGTAATTTTTTTTTTTTAGCCTTTTCATTTTATTCTAGTAGCAAATGTTTTCTGACATTAGGCTGGATTCACACCTGTCCAGTCCAGTGCGTTACTTTAATACATTTGCTTCAGTGTGGGTTATGTTAAGGAAGCCTATTCAGCACACCGGGATGGACAATATATTGGACATGCACCATTTTTAGTAACACTGTGTACCAAAGTAGTGTGCTGCAAAATGGGTGTGTTGAGGTTCCATTACCAATAAATGGCACCGCAGTGCACCAATGAACATACTATTGTTGTAACACATACACTATATTGCCAAAAGTATTGGGACAAATCATTGGATTCCAGTGTTCCAATCACCTCCATGGCCACAGGTGTATAAAATCAAGCACCTAGGCATGCAGACTGCTTCTACAAACATTTTGTGAAAGAATGGGTCGCTCTGAGGAGCTCAGTGAATTCAAGTGTGGTACCGGGATAGGTTGCCACCTGTGCAATAAGTCCATCTGTGAAATTTCCTTACTATTAAATATTCCATGGTCAAATGTTAATGGTATGATAACAAAAAGGAAGCAACTGGGTACAACAGCAACTCAGCCACGAAGTGGTAGGCCATGTAAGATGACAGAGCGGGGGTCAGCACATACTGAAGTTCATAGTGCGCAGAAGTCGCCATCTGTCTGCAGAGTCCATAGCTAAAGACCTCCAAACTTCGTGTGGCCTTCAGATTAGCACAACATCAGTGCATAGAGAGCTTCATGAAATGGGTTTCCATGGCCGCAGCTGCATCCAAGCCTTATATCACCAAGTGCAGGGCAAAGCGTCAGATGCAGTGGTGTAAAGCACGCCACCACTGGACTCTAGAGCAGTGGAGACGTGTTCTTTACACTTGCCTGACTGCATTATGCCAAGTGTAAAGTTTGGCGGAGTAGGGATTATGGTATGGGGTTGTTTTTCAGGGGTTGGTCTTGGCCCCTTAGTTCCAGTGAAGAGCATTTTGGACAATTTCATGCTCCCAACTTTGTGGGAACAGTTTGGGGATGGCCCCTTCCAGTTCCAACATGACTGCACACCAGCGCACAAAGTAATGTCCCTAAAGATATGGATGAGCAAGTTTGGGGTGAAGGAACTTGAACTGGCCTGCACAGATTCCTAACCTCAGCCCGATAGAACACCTTTGGGATGAGTTAGAGCGGGGACTGCAAGCCAGGCCTTCTCGTCCAACATCAGTGCCTGGCTTTACAAATGCTCTTCTGGAAGAATGGTCAAATATTCCCATAGACACTCCTAAACCTTGTGGACAGTCTTCCCAAAAGAGTTGAAACTGTTCTAGCTGCAAAGGGAGGGCCAACTCAATATTGAACCATACTGACTAAGACTGGGATGACATTAAAGTTTATGTGCATGGTTGATAGATTCACTCAATATGGGGCTGACTCCTCTGACTTAAATTTTGACATGCTTATGTCTGCCAGGTGTGCCTTACATCTACACCTGATAAAGGTTACACGGCTGGACATGTACACTTCCAAACAAAAATTTTTTGAACAAGGTGACAAGAATGGTAGGTTGCTGGCCATGTTATCCCAACATGATGCTCCCCCTTACTATGGTCTCTGAGCTTACCTCCCCCACAGGCGGGACTATCACGAATGCAGAGGGCATTCTCAAGGAATTTCATGATTACTATCAAAACCAATACGCATCCACTGTAGCTTCTGGGCTTGCCTCTGTGGATCTCTCATCTCTTCTGTATCCCATTGCCCTTGGTTGGCTTTCAGATGAGGAGTGAACCCTCCTGGTACACCGCATTACTTCGGAGGAGGTTTTATCTTTGATCCAGTCCTTCTCTTCTGGTAAGGCACCTGGCCCCGATGGCCTGCCCATAGAATTGTACAAGGAACATGGCTAAATGCTTGCCCCCTTCTGGTTTCTCTATTACACGCACTCCACACGGACACCCTCCCTCGTTCCATGTCGGACGCACATGTGGTTCTTATATACAAATCTTCTAAGATCCCAAATCCCGCGCCTCCTACAGACATTAATAGTGCCCATTATAATGACCTAAAAATACTGACAAAATGTCTGACTAACAGGCTTAATCCCCTCCTACCCTCGGTAATTGACTCAGACCAAACATGGTTCATGGCATGTAAGTCTATTGACATTAACCTACGTAGACTGTTCACAAACCTTCATGCCCATCATAATAATCAGGGTTCTAGAGTGATTGCCTCGCTAGATGTTGAAAAGGCATTTGACACCGTAGAGTGGCTCTATTTATGGGAGATCCTTAGGAGGTTGGGATTCCCTCTGGTTTTCAACAAATGGCTACAGTCAATATACTGCTCCCCAACTGCTGCCATTCGTTTGGGAGGTCTCCTCTCTCCTACATTTACTCTGCCTATGGGTACTAGACAGGGCTGCCCTCTCTCCCCAGCACTTTTTGCTATTTCCATGGAGCCATTGGCCAAGGCAGTATGAGTGTCCCCACTCATTAAAGGCCTGAGGCTAGTGTGGCTGGAGGAGAGGGTCATCCTGTATACTGACTACATTTTGCTGTTTCATAATGATGCTGGTTCCTCTCATGTCTTGAACTCTTTCTCAGTTCTGATGGGGCTCAGAGTGAACTGGTCTAAATCCCAACGTTTTGACATTGATCCCTGGGCCTGGCAGAGCGCAGTCTCAGATCTACAACTGCAGTGGGTGGAGGAGTTTAAATACCTGGGGGTGGTAGTTTCCAGAGAAGTGAATGATTACATATCCTTGAACTTGGCTCCAGTGGTCCACTCTGGTACGGCTAAACTGAAAGCATGGGAGAATCTCCCCTTGTTCCCCCTGGGTTACATTAACCTCATTAATTAACCGCTTCCTGACTGCCCTATAGCAGAAATACTGCTACAGGGCGGCACAGGTGCGCAAAATCACGCGCGTGTGTGTATGTATTTATGTATGTATATATATATATATATATATATATATATATCTATATATGTGTGTGTGTGTGTGTGTGTGTGTGTGTATATATATACAGTGGGGATCGAAAGTTTGGGCACCCCAGCTAAAAATTTGTATTAATGTGCATAAAGAAGCCAAAGAAAGATGGAAAAATCTCCAAAAGGCATCAAATTACAGATTAGACATTCTTATAATATGTCAACAAAAGTTAGATTTTTTTCCATCATTTACACTTTCAAAATAACAGAAAACAAAAAAATGGCATCTGCAAAAGTTTTGGGCACCCTGCAGAGTTAATATCTTGTACTGCCCCCTTTGGCAAGTATAACAGCTTGCAAACGCTTTTTGTAGCCAGCCAAGAGTCTTTCAATTCTTGTTTGAGGTATCTTTGCCCATTCTTCCTTACAAAAGTCTTCCAGTTCTTTGAGATTTCTGGGCTGTCTGTCACGCACTGCTCTTTTAAGGTCTATCCATAGATTTTCAATTATGTTGAGGTCAGAAGATTGTGAAGGCCATGGCAAAACCTTCAGTTTACGCCTCTTGATGTAATCCCCCGTGGATTTCGAGGTGTGTTTAGGATCATTATCCATTTGTAGAAGCCATCCTCTCTTTAACTTCAGCTTTTTCACAGATGGCATCAAGTTACCATCCAAAATTTGCTGAAATTTATTGAATCCATTTTTCCTTCTACTCGTGAGGTGTTTCCTGTGCCACTTGCTGCAACACAACCCCAAAGCATGATTGATCCAACCCCATGCTTAACAGTTGGACAGAGGTTCTTTTCATTAAATTCTGTGCCCCTTCTTCTCCAAACGTACCTTTGCTCATTCTGGCCAAAAAGTTCAATTTTAACCTCATCGGTCCACAGAACTTGTTTCCAAAATGCATCAGGCTTGTCTATATGTTCATTTGCAAAGTTCAAACGATGATTTTTGTGGTGAGGACGTAGAAGAGGTTTTCTTCTGATGACTCTTCCATGAAGACCATATTTGTACAAGCATCTCTTTATAGTGGAATAGTGTACCACAACTCCAGTGTCTGCCAGATCTTTCTGAAGGGATTGTGCAGTCAAACGTGGGTTTTGAATAGTTTTTCTCACAATCCTGCGAGCTGTTCTGTCTGATATTTTTCTTGGTCTTCCAGATCTTGCTTTAACTTCCACTGTTCCTGATGACTGCCATTTCTTAATTACATTCCGAACAGATATTGACATCTGAAAACGCTTTGCTATCTTCTTATAGCCTTCTCCAGCTTTGTGAGCGTCAACTATTTTCAGTTTCAGTTTTCTAGACAACTACTTAGAAGAACCCATGGTGCTGATTGTTGGGGCAAGGTCAGATGAGTCTGGAATTTAAAACCTTTGAGATTGACATCACCTGGTCTTCCCAGACGATGATTGAGAACAATCCATGACACTGGCAGGTCTCAGCTTTGCAAAGGGGGCAGTGCATGCTATAAATTCTGCAGGGTGCCCAAACTTTTGCAGACGCCATTTTTTTGTTTTCTGTTATTTTGAAAGTGTAAATGATGGAAATAAAATCTAACTTTTGTTGACATTATAAGAATGTCTAATCTGTAATTTGATGCCTTTTGGAGATTTTTCCATCTTTCCTTGGCTTCTTTATGCACATTAATACAAATTTTTAGCTGGGGTGCCCAAACTTTCGATCCCCACTGTGTGTGTGTGTGTGTGTGTATATATATATATATATATATATATATATATATATATATATATATATATATACACACACACACACACACGCACGATTTTAAATTTTCGGTAAGGGGGCACGTGCGCCCTACCAGCGCTGCGGCTGTCAATCACCAGGTCCCAGCCGGTGATTACTCACTGGCACCCAGTGATTGCCGATCACAAAACAGTTCTCCTCCCTGTCAGCTCATGCAGTTTGCTTACAGTGAAGCACACGGACAGAGCACTTAGTAAAACAGCACACAGTTAACCATTTTATCGCCCCTCATGTTAATCCCTTCCTGCCCAGTTCCATTAGTACAGTGTCAGTGCTTTTCTTTTTAGTACTGGTCACTGGAGATGTCAGTGACACCAAGTCAGTTCTCCCCCCAGTGTCAGAATGCCCGCCGTAGTCCCGCAGTCCCGCTATAAGTTGCTGATCGCCGCCTTTACTAGTAAAAATAGAAAAAAAAAAATCTCAGTATATATACTACCATTTGTAAACACTATAACTTTCATTCATGTAAACCAGTTAATTTGCACGTATTGAGATTTTTTTTTTAGCGAAGACATCTAGCAGAATAAATTTTGGCCTAAATTTATGACGAAATTTGATTTTTATAAATTTTTTTACTGGACATGTTTAATAGCAAACAGTCAAAAATATTGTTTTTTCCTCAAAATTTGCAGTCTTTTTTTTTTTTTTTTTTTGCGCAAAAAATAAACTCACAGGCAATCAAGTACCACCAAAAGAAAGCTCTATTCGTGGGAAAAAAGGATGTAAATTTCATTTGGGTGCAGCGTTGCATGACAGTGCAATTGTCAGTTAAAATAACGCAGTGCCGTAACGCAAAAAATGGCCTGGTCAGGAAGTGGGGTAAATCCTCAGGAGGGCAAGTGGTTAAAATGAAAATCCTTCCCAAATTGAATTACTTACTTTGTAACTCCCCTAACTGGATTCCCAAGTCTTTTTTCACCCACCTAAATAGATTATTTTCCTCTTCTTTTGGGGTCTTTGACCCCCAGATACAAATTATTCACTCTAATGTGCCCTACCTCCCAAGGAGGTCTGGCCCTTCCAGTTTGTCACAAATATTTTCTTGCCTCCCAACTGGTCTCTAGCTCATGGTTGTTGACACCAGATATGTCTATCTCTGCTACAAAATTGGAAGCCGCAGTAGTGCGCTCTATGGAGGCCCTCCAATTTTTATTGTTTCAAAGCCCTAGAGCTTCTTATGATCTGATTCCTTCCATGCTTTATATCCTTAGGGCCTGGAAAGTTGGCCTCACCTGTGAAAGTTATCCTACCTCTGCCATATCCCTGAATATCCCTTTATGGAATAACCCTTCTTTGCCAGACTTTTACCAGCTTCCTGATCTCATAGCATGGACCAAGCATAACATCAAAACTGTAGTGTATGTGGTTTCAAATTTATCTGTATGTCTCAGAATATTTTATGTCTTATCACAATGTCCCCCCTTCGTACACTTTTAGGTACTGGCAATTGTCCCATGCTTTCAGAAGCTAATTCCCTACTGCTACTCTCCAGCTGCAGAGCTCTGAATTGAAGGGAATATTACACCATGTTCGCACAGAAAAACCTACCTCGAACCTATATACTCACCTTCTCTGAGTTTCCTCCCCTGATTTGTCACTCCTCCTTCAAGGTTGGGCCCGTGATGTTCCTGGGTTGGACTCAGAGGTTTGGAATGATGTATGGGAATTTCCCTTTAAAAAAAACTAGTGTCTTTGAGACCACCTTATACAGTTTAAAATTGTCCATAGGGCCTACCTTACCCCTTACAGGTTGCAAAAAACAAATATCTCTTTTTCTCCAGAGTGCTTGCCTGGTGGCTGCACCCTCAGGACTTTATACATATTTTCTGGACCTGCCCAGCAATTGCTACTTTCTAGATGCAGATAATGTCTGTTGCTAACCTCATGGTGGATGTTCCTTTAACCCCATCCTCCAGAATCTGTTTGTTTGGTTGGTTTAGTGGAGGACTTAGTTCCTGGGGTGGTGGACAGGATGATTGCGGGTCTTTTACTGTTTTATGCCAGAAAATCACTCTGTGTTGGAAAACGTTGGCTCCCCCCTCCACCACTTTCTAGAAACAGTAGGTTAATGCCATTTTACCTTTGTACAAAGATACTTATCGGCATAGAGGGTGCCCTAAAACGTATTACAGAGTCTGGGCGAAATGGTTAGCAGAACCTTCAACAGCTACTGACTCCTGACCTCACTGCATTATTAGTGCCCTTCCTGGAGCCTCATTTATGAATGCATGGAAGGGGGGGCGGGCCCTGGGGTACTGGGGGTGATATGTCTAATTGGCTTAAATTGTTGGTCACGAACAGCAGCAACTGTTTTATTCTTCTTTTTTGTTTTACTGTACATTATGATTGTGGGCCGAAACCCTGACTGCCAATTTGCTTTGTTTTTCACGAAGATACCACTGCGTGGGTTAGTGCCTGAAGATGTACAAACCCTGGCAAAAGTATGGAATCGCCACTGTTGGAAATGTTCATTCAATTGTTTAATTGCGTAGAAAAAAAGCCAATCACAGACATGCCTCAAAATTCTTTTCATTTAACATTTCAACCAATTTCTGGCTTTAAGAAATGCTTAAAAAAAAAAAAAAAAGAAGAAAACTGTAGTCAATTGCAACTGTTTCTACAAAAAATATGGAATCACTCAATTGTGAGGAAAATATTATGGAATCACCATGTACTTTGCGGCTCTAAAACAAGCATCTGCATCAGATTACATCTGATAATTAGTCTGCAGTTAAAAAAAGAGTGCTTGCACACCTTGATGAGCTGTTGCACGAAGCTGATTGACATGAATCATGGCTCCAACACGAGAGATTGAGTCAGTTTAAACAAAGGAGAGGATTTTAACCACTAGCCTACAGGGCACTTATACCCCCTTCCTGCCCAGGCCAATTTCCAGCTTTCAGCACTGTCACACTTTGAATGACAATTGCGCAGTCATGCAACACTGTACCCATATGAAATTTTTATCATTTTTTTGTGACAGATAGAGCTTTCTTTTGGTGGTATTTAATCACCTCTGGGTATTTTATTTTTTCTTCATCAAACCAAAAAAATTTTGAAAACAAAATTTTTTTTCTTAGTTTTTGTTATAAAAGTTTGTAAATAAGGGATTTTTCTCCTTCACTGATGTGCGCTAATGAGGCTGTAGTGATGGGCACTGATAGGCTGCACTGATGGGCACTGATGAGGAGGCACTGGTAGGTGGCACTGATGGGCATTGACAGGCATCACTGATGGGCACTGAAAAGCAGCACTGATACATGGCACTGATTAATGGCACTGTTAGGCGGCACTGACTGGCACTGTTAGGCGGCACTGACTGGCACTGTTAGGCGGCACTGACTGGCACTGTTAGGTGGCACTGACTGCACTGTTAGGTGGCACTAATGCACACTGATAGGTGGCACTGACTGGCACTGATAAGTGGCACTGATTGGCAGCACTGATAGGTGGCACTGATTGGCATTGATAGGTGGCACTGATGGATGACACTGAAAGGCAGCTCAGATGGGCACTGATATGTGGCATTGATGTGCACTGGTATGCACTGATATGTGGCATTGATGTGGCACTGATAGGCACTGGCACAAGGCACTAATCGGCACTGACAGCTGGCACTGATGGACTTTGACAGGTGGCACTTCTGGGGTTACACTGATCATCAGGGCACACTGATCATCAGTGCCCTGATGATCAGTGTACATGTCCCCTCCGCGGAAAGCCGATTACCGGCTCTCCTCTCCTCTCGAGCTGTCAGCGTGACAGCTCGAGAGGAGAGAAATGCCGATAACCGGCATTTCCGTGTTTACATGTGATCAGCTGTGATTGGACACAGCTGATCACATGACCGAGCTGACATCTTCGGCTCTTTCCATGACTGGTGATCCGCTGTGTCTGAGAGAGACACAGCGCACCACCGATCGCCGCGCTGTGCGCTCCCTGAGCCGCACATGCGAGGTGAGAATGGGAGGACGTCATATGACGTCCTCTCAGAACGAGAGAACCACCTTGCTCCCGTCATTGGACTATATGGCGGGCGGGAGGTGGTTAAAACTTCTTCAAGAAGGTAAATCATCACAGAATGTTGTAAAAGATGTTAGTTGTTCCCAGTCAGGTGTGTCTAAAATCTGGACCAAGTACAAATCAAATGGGAAAGTTGTAAAAGGGAGGCATACTGGTAGACCAAGGAATACATCAAAGTGTCAATATAGAAAACTTACACCAATATGCCTTGAAAACAGAAAATACACAACAAAACAGATGATGAGGAACAAATGGGCAGAAACTGGAGTCAATGTCTGTGACCAAACTGTAAGACATCGCCTAAAGGAAATGGGATTTACATACAGAAAAGCCAAACAAAAACCATCATTAACACCTAACAAAAATTACAAGGTTACAGTGACCTAAAGAAAAGCAATCATGGACTGTGGATGACTGAATGAAAGTGATATTCAGTGATGAATCACAAATCTGCATTGAGCAGGGTGATGATGCTGTAACTTTTGTTTGGTGCCGTTCCAATATAATGTATAAAGACGACTGCCTGACAATTGAATGAACATTTTCCAAGAGTGGTGATTCCATACTTTTTCCCAGGGGTTTTACATGTTCATGTTAAGTGTATTTTTCTAGGAAAACAATAAAAAGAATAAAAAGTGCAAGTGCATGTAAAGGCAGGCGTCACAATACTTTTGGCAATATAGTGTAGTTATGAATTCAGCACTAGGACTGGCCTATATGAACATTTTTAGTTGCTTTACCTGAGAGATTTAAACACTTGGTGTCAATTGCCTCATTGGAATCAAATAGTAAGTGGTTAAAGTAGATGTAAATCCTAACCAGATGACAGTAAATTGGCTAAAGTAGCCTGTATCATAAACAATAACTGTTTTTTTAATTGTTTTAGAAAAATCAAAGGTTTTTTTTTTTTTTGAGAGCTGCTACATAAGAGATTAGAAGTCAAGTAACAGTTGCACAAAAAGTATTTGCTATTAATTACAGCTCCTCTACAGGTTTGAAAGATAAGAAAAATAATTGATCAATAATTATTAATCACTCTTTTAAGATTGCTTGGAGAGTCTTCCCATTTTTTAGGGGAAAACCTGTGAGACTAAATCCATGAGAATGATTACCAAGCTATCACCCAAAATCTTCTGCAGTAGTGATTTTTCTGTGGGAGATTTCTAATCTGTGAGATTAAAATTATGATTGTATCCCTTTTTTACAGTATGGTTTAAGGTCATTGAGTAAAGGGAGAGAGCCTTGATGCAGGGTGTGAGAATTTAAAGTGATATTAAAAGTATTTTTTTTTTTTTTTTTTTTTAAATAAAAAGCATGTCATACTTGCTCTGCAGTGGTTTTTCAAAGAGCAGCCCCAATCCTCCTTCTCAGGTTCCCCGCCAGCCCTCCCCCTTCTATGTACCCCCATAGCAAGCTGCTTGCTATGGGGACACTTGTGCATGCTCACCCCAAGCCTTGCTCTGTGTTTCTATTGACATACAGAGAGAGGCTTAGTCCAACCCCCATCCCCGCTCCCTCCTCACTGACTGTGATTAATAGCCAATGGCTCTTGCTGCTATCTCTGAGTCATTGAGGAGGGAGAGAGCTGAGAGAGCTGCTGCTCCTGCACACATCGCTGGATCAAGTCTGGGCTCAGGTAAGTATAAGGAAGGGGGGGGGTGAGGTTGGAGCTGAATGCATAAAGGTTAAAAAACCATCATCCTTTACAACCACTTTAAAACCTGATCAGGAGCTGTGTCTGGAGAGGCTTAGCAATACCTACAGGATTATATTCATGTGGCTGCAGAGCTTGAACAGTACTCATAGGAGTATATCTACATGGCTTTACAACTCAATAATACAGGTAGCATTATTAGAATGCAGTGGTAAACATTTGCTTTGAGCTTTGTTATTGTTTAATCACATTCGGAAGGTACTGTATCATTTATAAATTGAATTGGTGGAGACGTATAAAGCCCAACTCCAGGAAAAGTAAAAAGTCCTTTTTTGCAGCGAGTGTTTATGCTTAGGGGATGGGAAAATCACTTTTACCACACCTTATCGTCTGCTCTGGCAAACTGCAATCCCTATCCTCCAACAGAGAACTGTCCCTCAACGTTTTCATGTCTAGTGCAGGACTATGGTCACTGAATTGGTTTTGATGATGTTAGGGGCAGCATCCAACCAGAGTTTTTTTTTGGGGGGGGGGTGTTTCAGCATTTTTGTTTGTTTTTTTTTTTTTCAACCACTTGCCGACCAGCCACAGTACTTATACTGCGGCGGGGCGGCACTGCTATACAAAATCACGTATATATATATATGATTTTGCATTCGGGTAGGGGCTGATCGTGGGTGTCAATCACTGGGACGTAAATTTCATTTGGGTGCAGCGTTGCATGACTGCGCAATTGTCAGTTAAAATAAAGCAGTGCCGTAACACAAACCACTTCTATAACCGCTTCCTGAATGCCCTATAGCAGAAATACTGCTACAGGGCAGCATGGGTGCGCAAAATCACATATATATATATACACACGTGATTCACGCTCCCATGGTTTTCAAGCCCCTCCCAGATAGCGTCAGATTGCCCGTCAGTACTCCAGTAATCACATTTAACCCCTTGAATGCCAGGAACATGCTCATACACAGTAAACCTCCATTGCTAGTATAGTGTCTGAAAGGATCAATATCTTTGATCAGATCAGCACTATTCCAGCGTTCACATTAGTATAGTGTCCCCAACAATGCAGCGTTAGTGGGATCAGCCCCAGCACTTGCCAGCACCTGCGTTTAGCCCCTACGCTCCCCCCCCCTTCACTTCACCCCCAGTAAGTGCTATGTCAGCAGGTCACTGTCACTTGATTACATAGCACACAAAGCCGCAGTGTTCGCAGTATCAGTACCCGTACTTCCCCAATTCACTGCCCAACCCGGAATTCAGGTGGAAACAACAAATTTAACTACTCCTCTAATTTTTTGGATCTGTTTTTCATGGAAGATCTGTATGCATTTATTGTGCATCAAAGCAATTTATATGCATAACAATTTATCGTCGCCAACCCAAATTCAAATCTTGCCAGACCATTCACGTGGAAACCCATTACGGTTTCCAAATTAAAATTTTTTTGGGGTCTAACCCTCAACATGGGCATTACTAAAAAAAAAAATGAATTGCAGTTGTATTGGTCCACAGACCCGATTCATCATATGCCTGTGTTCTCTGCTGCCATGGCCAGGCATAGATATGAGAGTATAATGTGTTTTATGCATTTCAACAGCAATACACTCTATCGTCCTTGGAGTGACCCTGAATTTGACCAGCTCCACAAAATTCGGCCCCTTGTAAGTCACCTTAACCAAAAATTTGCAGATGTCTATACTCCCCAGCAAAAAATCTGCGTTGATGAGTCCCTCATTAATTTTTCTGGCCACCTTGCATTCAAATAATTTCTCCCCAGAAAGATATGGGGTCAAGATGTATAAGACCTGTGGGAGGGCAACATGCTGTACATTAAAGTTTTGGTTTTACAAGGGATCACGTGGAGCCCCCCGGATGCCCAGACTACATGGGGAGCAGTGGCAAGATAGTTTGGGACTTGCTGTCATCCTTTTTCCATATGGGGTACCACTTATCTGTGAACAATTTTTATTCAAGTGTGCCACTATTTAGAGATTTTTACAATCTTGGAATTGGCGCACGTGGCACCGTGCGACCTAACGTGTGCCCACCATTAGAAGTGGGTGGATACAGGGCGGTATATTCTAATGGTGGGCATACCACACACTTTTTCTGGCAGATATTTCTTCTCTTTTTTTCATTCAGCCCACAGGCTGCATACAAAAAAAAGAACATAGCATATATACCCAACAAGGATCAGCGATGTATTGGTACATCACTGGACTTTGACTGGTTATACCAGGATGATGCCTACAGCTGCAGGCATCATCCCGATACTGTTTCTTTCAGCCGACGATCGGCTTTCATGTAAAAGTAATCCTAGTGGCTAATTAGCTGCAGGATTGCTTTTGCAAGCAGCAGAAGACAATGACCCCCTCCCCAGCTGCCTTCCACGGCCTTCTCGGGCAGTCCTATGCCATCAGGGGAACCTGAGAATGCAGCCAGTGTTTCTACCGGATGACCATAGAGCTGATTGGAGACCGGAATGGCGCAATCATCTCTATAGTCTAAGAAATCGGAAGCTACGAGCATTTCATCTCTTCAGTTTTGCAGGATATAAACCGTGCCATTTGTAAATTGGGAAAGCATCTTATCACACGATCTTGGTGAGATTAGATAATGTAAGGGCAGAGGAGATATCTAGAGTCTGATAGACCCCTGATTTCTCAAAAAAGAATATATGACAATGCCCACTGACATTATAGGGGATTTTTGCATTCCCTCTGATAGCATTAAAAGTGATAAAAAAACATAAAAAAAAAACATAAAAGAGACAGTGTAAAAATAATAATAAAAAAAAAATCACCCTCACCCTCCCCCCCCCCCCCCCACACACACACGCGCGCGCGCTCGTGCCTGCGGGGGCGAGCGTTGACCCTGTGCCAGTGTGTAAACAGCGGTTGCACCATGCATGTGAGGTATCATCGCGAATGTCAGATTAAAGGCAGTAATTCTAGCACTACACCTCTGTAAATCTAAAATGGTAGCTTGTAAAGGCTTTAAAAGCGTTGCCTATGGATATTAAAAATGTTTGCAGTTTGTCGCAATTGCATGGGTCATGCGCAGTGTTTGGTATCCGTTTACTCGGCATACCATCATATTTTATATTCTACCAAATAATGGCCAATATATTGTGTTTTTGTGCATTAAAAGTAAAAAAAAAGCGTATTTTTTTGTAAACAATCTACACTTGAAAAATCGCTGCGCGAGTACTATGTGACATAAAAAATTGCAGCACCCACCATTTTATTTACTAGGGTGTCTGCTTTAAGAAATATATAATGTTCAAAGTAATTTCCTGGCAAAAAAAATACAGATTTTTGGCATCTGAACGAAAATTGTCAGAAAAGGCTTGGTCTTCAGGTGGTTAGAAGAGTGAATGATGTGTGGCATAAACTTCTAATGCTGGGCATAAAATGCCCCGACCCCCCAAAAAGACCCCTTTTTGGAAAGTAGATACCCCAAACTATTTGCTGAGAGGCATGTTGAGTCAATAGAAGAATTTATTTTCTACCACAAGTTTTTGGAAAATGACAAAAAAAATTTTATTAAAATTTTTTTTAATATATCATTTAAATGACAACTTTGTGTAAAAAAAAAAAAAAAATGTTTTTGGAATTTTCCAAATATTTGTGGGAAAAATAAATAAATCTTCCATGGACTCAGTATACCTCTCAGCAGATAGCTTAGGGTGTCTACTTTCCGAAAAGTGGTCATTTGGGGGTGTTTGTACTATCCTGGTATTATAGAACCTCAAGAAATGTGATGAGCAGTCAGAAGTAAAAGCTGTGTAAATTCCATTATCTATACCATAGTTTGTAGACGCTATAACTTTCACACAAAGCAATCAATATACACTTATTGGGATTTTTTAACCAAACACAAGTAGCAGAATACATTTTGGCCTAAAATTACAATGGAATTTGAGTTTTTTGGATATATTTTATGACAGAAATGTGAAAATATTTTTTTTTCAAAACTTTTTTTGTTTATTGCGCCAAAAATAAAAAGCGCACAGGTGAACAAATAACACCAACAGACAGCTCTATTTGTGTTAAAAAAAGGACATAAATTTCATTTATGTACCATATTGCATGACTGTGCCATTCTCAGTTAAACTAGTGCATCAAATACCACCAAAAGAAAGGTCTATTTGTGTGAAAAAAAGGACATAAATTTAATTTATGTACAGCATTGCATGACCGTGCAATTCTCAGTTAAACGAGTGCATCGCTGCACAGCAAAAAATGGAGTAAATTGCAGTATCTATACCATAGTTTGTAGACGCTATAACTTTCACACAAAGCAATCAATATACACTTATTAGGATTTTTTTTTACCAAAAACATGTAGCAGAATACATTTTAGCCTAAATTTATGACTAAGTTTGAATTTACTATATATTTTTTATACCAGAAAGTAAAAAATATTGTTTTTTCTTCAAAATTTTCGGTTTTTTTTGTTTATAGTGCGAAAAATAAAAAGCGCACAGGTGATCAATACCACAAAGAAAGCTCTATTTGTGTGAAAAAAGGATGAAAATTTCATTTGGGTACAGCCTTGCATGACCGCGCAATTGTTAGTTGAAATAGTGCAGCGCCATTGGACATTTCGTTATTGTATCTGTTTTTGTGTTAATGTTCTGCTCTGCCCCTGCGTGGGCGTATCTTGAGCTTGTTGTATTCTTAAAACAAAATTTTCTTAATAAAAATATTGAAACAGATATAATGCAGCGCCGAATAGCAAAAAGAGGCCTAGTCATTAGGGGGGGTAAATCCTCTGGCGAGTAAGTGGTTAAATTGAAAATATTTTTGTTGCTGGGCAGAATAAAAGCGTGGCAATAATGCATTTCAGCAGCATCTCCATTGAACTTTATTGTAGCAAAGATGCTGCTTTTTGCATTTAAAAAAAAAGTCCCTGACCCTTTTCAAAAATGCAGGTGCTCAAACAAGCATAGATGTGTACGTGTCCAATAGGAAACCATTGACTGTAGTGCATCTCTGCTCAAAGCACTTAAACTCATTGGTGTGAACCAGGCCTTATAAATACATTTAATAGCTGCGTAGAGAGGTGTTGCCCGGGTACGTTGTTGAAGATGAAGTATGATAGCCTTTAAACATGCAGGAGGTCAGGTTTTAAAGGTCTTGAAGGAAGCATAGAGGGAAATTTTATATGTTTGCGACACATAAACAAATTCTTTTGTCACATTAAAAATATGCATCAAGGTGTAAATATGTGGAATAAATGAAAATTGTGGAGTAAAGCATCACAGGAATGTTTCCCTAAATCTGCAATGGAGTATAGAGTCTACCCATAGCCATATATGTTGTGCTTAAGGGCAGGTCCACCACACATGTAGCATTTTATCTAGGAAATTCCATCTATGCTAACACATTGTAGAGTAGAAAGTGATGCTTTTTGATATTATGACTCAGTTAAGGTACCACCAAAAAGTACAGTTTTCCAAGGCTAGAAAAAAATATAAAAAATATTATGCTCTTGGCTGTGCCAGAACATGTATCTGTGTGTTTTTTATCAGGTAGAGTCTATGAGCCCCCCTCCTACCCCAAATCCTCCTCCTATGTTACCATATATTTCAATTTCTGATTGGATGATAGGAAAGAGCATTTAAGTGAAGATATCGACCCCAAGTGTTGATTATTATGATTACAATGTTTGAAGTCTGGTGAAGAAAGAGGGCAGAAATTTAAGAAATTCTGTATAATGTCCGAGTTGGAGATAACTAAATATTTCAAGGCTGGATACTTTCCTTCATGTGTTTCATGTATCTGTCCTGATAATATAGAGGGGGAGGGAGGGCACAGACACCACAGTCTTCCCACCAACTTCCAGTTATCCTAAAGCAGAACAAGTGCTGACAAATTTTCTTATGATTTTCTGGTTTAGGAATTCTAGTCTAAGCAGTCCTTCCACCTTCAAAGAGATACAATGTTAAAAACTGTTTTGCCATTAGATGCTATAGGTTCTTTAAAACCTGCGTAAGAACAAAATGATTGTGCGATCTTATATGCTTACTTTTCAGGAATATTTAAAGTCTTATTCAGCAGAAGAGTTCCGTATGTTTTGCTTGCGATCTAAATATAAATCAGGTAATGATGTTGATTCGATTCATAATTTTATTGGTGGAGCTGACTTTGTGGTTTCTTATAGTAGACAGGTTTTGTTAATAAAAGACACCTTTGTTTAAGTATAAAGTGTGTAAACCCTAAATCGGGGTGCTTAACCTGTGGCCCACAGAGCACTCTGACATGGCCCGGGACCTCAAACCAGGGAAGCACAAGCCTGGGGTCAGCAACCCATTGACCACGATCTAGGCTTGCCAACCCAGCATCCCAGAGCATCAGAGTGCATCGAACCGGCATCAGCATGGGAGGAAGCAGGCGGCCACAGAGGGAACAGGAGCTGCATAAGCCGAAGCTTCCTCTGTATTTCCAGCTGCTGATACCAAGTGCACTTCGCATGGGACCTTTCTAGCATCTGGGGAACCGATACCAGCAGATGCTGGAAGAGGAAAATAAGTTCCGTGTATTAAACAACACATACACTGTGCTTTTGCAGTGGGCATATTAGCACCTATAAAAGGGTTAACAACTATCAGGCTGCTGCCACTTGCAGCCTTCCTGCGGGTTAGCTGCACTGAGCTACAGAAATCTGAAAGTGCACCACACCCCAAGATATAATAGAAGTCTAGTGAAAAGCATAGCTAAGTCACAGCAAAGCCCATACAGTGCACCCGCAGTTCAGGTAAACCACAGCACATCAGTGTGAAAGCAGACTTATAGGGGGCTCAGGACAGAACGGCTCATGTTTGCGGGGTAGTAAAACCCCATTGTTGAGACTTGTTTTCACCACACCCCTCCAACCACTGGTGTAGTGTCAGGGATCGTGATGGCGAGCCCATCCCATGCTGTAGAGGTTCCGTGCAGCCTCCCTGTTAGATTCTGTTTTCACTTGGACTTGGACAGGAGGGGCAGTGGGGGCGGCATACAGGAACCTATCCTCCCCATTTTCTCCAAGCAACCGCTGAAAGACGGCTTTTCTTCCTCTCCCTCCCACCACTATTTAGCGGCTGCAGGATGAAAATGTTCATTATGCTATTCAAAAAAAAAAATTTTTATTCTGAACCATTTCATTTCATTGTGGCCCGTGACCAGTTACTGAATCACTTAGGTGGCTCTTGCTCTTCAAAAGGTTGAGCACCCCTGCCTTAAATCAATTTTTCAGTGTTTGACATCATGCATTATACAGTTTTCTTAAATGTCAAGGTGAAATGGAAATAAAAATGAGTACATCTCTACAATACATGCACATTTTACCATCACTTTTTAGCACACTGCAAGTAAAGAAGAAATGTTGATATGTCAGAATTATATTGTGCTCCTGCCTTGGCAACACAGCTATGAATTCCTAAGCACGCAGCGTCAGGCCTGCCTATGTAATTTTTGATAGTTTACAAAGAAAACCCATTTCTTCAGCACCAACCTGCCTTTTACCCTAACCAGCTGCAGTATTTCTTTTCTGGGCGCAGAAAATTATTACCACGTAAGATGTTCTGGCTTAGGTCAGCACTCCTCTGGCCGCTTCCCTCTGAGATACATAGGCCAGAATAAGACACAATAAGCACTACCCTCTTGCACAGGAAGGGAGATGAGGAGCTAGACAATGGATGGGCTTTCAAAACCCTTTGTCAAGTAGGAATATCCCTTACATTTGCAAGGTTCACCCTGGATTAGGTTAGATCTGAATTCCTGCCCTTATCTGATAACTGTCTTAGGAGCACAGTTATCTATTTCCTTTGTGTCAAAGGAAGAATACTTGAAAGTCATATCTCCATTTTGGGGCCAGCTCTCAGGGGTTCCCACTGGTCTGAAGAAGCTGAGATGCGCAATGGGGCACATGGAAAGACTGCTGTCCCGAAATGTCATCGCACCAGAGCCGGCAGAGGAGAGACTTTTATTCCAACCTGTTCACAGTTCCCAAGCTGAACAGAGACGTCTGGCCCATTCTAGGCCTCAGCGTCTCAAGTTCCTGAAAACATTGAGATTCACTCTGGAGTGCTCCTGATCAGTGTTGCTTTGCTTTATCAGGGAGCCTTCCTGATAGTGGATATCAAGAATGCCTGTCCGCATATCCAAGTTTTCCAGCCTCACCAACGGTTCCTGCAGAAGAAGGTATGGCTTCCACAGGGGAAATGCCTGTCTCTTGTAGCCTTGGTGGAATTCCTGAGGTCATTGAAAAGTCATTTAATTTAGACATGCATGAATGTACTGGAGAAGATAGTAGCCACCTTCAATGCGGTCTCTTTTGCTGTGGCATACATCAATCATCAAGGAGGAGCAAGAAGCCAAACAGCTCAGGAAGAAGCAGATCAGAATCTGTCTTGGGCAAAACTTCATGTTTCAGCTCTTTTTTCTGTGCATATTCTAGAAGAGGGAAAATGGCAGGTGGATTCTCTCAGCCTTCAACAGCTGAATACAGGGCAGAATGGTCCTGGAGAGATTTTTCTGTGGTGGGGGGTGCTGTATGTGGATCTCCTGGCATCCAGACTCAACAGCAAACTGGACAGGTATGTATCCGATATCAAGGATTCTCAAGTGTTTGTGATAGATGCCCTGGTGGTTCAACAGAATTTGTTTTCTTGGATCTGTACCTTCCCTTTGCTCCAAACTCTAGTGATCCTTGTCACACTGGCTTGGCCAAGAAGGATATGGTATGCTAACATTGTAAATCTCTTGACAAATGAGCTGTGGATTTTTTCATATCTGCCAGATTTGCTGCTGTAGTCACTGGTTTTGACGGCATTGCTGTAGAATCTCAAATCTTGAGGGACACCAAAACAAGGTGGTTTTGAGGCCTCGATCTTCTTTCTTACCTAAGGTGGGTTCTGTGTTCCACCTGTTCAGGACATTTATTTTGCCATCCTTTTGTCCTAATTCCAAGCATCCTAAAGAGGAGGTGCTTCACTCTTTAGATATTGTCTGAGCTGTATGAGTTTATCTGGAGTCTACTGTTTAGCTTCAACAGTTATTTTGACAGTCTGCTTCCCTGTTTTTTCTACCCAAGGCTCCTTTTTGAAAGTGGAGTTGTCAGCTCATTTCATAGGCAGATGGTATCAGGGGCAAGACTCTTCCTTTCCCTGTTAAAGCCTATTCCACCAATAATGCCAGTCCTTCCCAGGCTATTCAGCATCAAGCTTCTGCTGTTCAGGTTTGTAAGGCTGTTATAGTCTTCTCCATAAATGTTTATTAAGTTCTTTCAAGTTGATGTTTATGCCTCTGAAGACACCAATTTTAGGCAGAAGGTCTTGCGGGTGGCTTTATGGAGAGGCTTTTCCCTCCTCTGCTTTGGGGACTTAGACTTGCTGGCCTTGTTTAAGTGTTGCCCTCTCCTCATGTTCATTGCATTGGGACATCCAAAATAGTCAAGTTTATTAACTACTGTTTTTTTTAATGTATGATTAAAGTGTTTGTTCACCTAAAACTTTAAAGATAACCTAACACTTGACCCCCTTCCTACTCCCCCTCGTCCCCACTGTACCTACCACCACTGATCCTCAGTTTTCAGGGCTCATGCAGGCACTCCACACCATGTGATGGTGCTGACCAATCAAAATCTTTGTTGTCTGTCCTGGCAGCACAGGACAGAGAAGAGAGCAGAAGGGGGATTTTAAATCCCTGGACTGATGGAACAGCTGCAGGAGCCCTGACAACTGAGGATGGTCAGCGATAAGTACAGTGGGGACTGGGGGAAGGGGGTCCTAAGTAAGGTTACCCTTAAAGTTCCTTCCCCTCTTGCTGGTTTTTCCTCAATACTTGCTACTTAACTGAGGATTAGTAGAACTGGGAGAGGTTATACTTAAGTGGGGAATTTTTTGTCCATTGAACTGAAGGTGACAGCATGACCCAAGTGGTCAAGATTATTAATGCCTCTGTGTCCCGTGATGTACTCTAAGAAATTGATTTTACAGGTCAAACCAAAAAATCCTAGTTTTGTGCTTTTCCAACAAATGTAATAAAACCCTTTCACTTGTATATTTAGCAGGTCAAAGGGAGCAAATAAGAGAAGTTTATTGTTAGGGTTTACATACACTTTACACAAATCATTTTTTGGGAATCTTTTGCAAAGTTTCTTACCAATTAATCTTGCAAGCAGCAGCACTTCCTGCATATACTTCTGCAGGCTGATAATGCTATGCCACTGGCTCACAATTGGCAGAAGCATTGTCAGCCTGCCATGCAACCTCCTTCATTTGGTTGTTCGGTTGCATATCAAGCCTATTCGCAGCCCAATGGCCAACTTAAGGAGTTTGCAAGAAAGGCTGACAACTCTGCTGCTAATTGTGAGGCAGTGGCTTAACATTGTCAGCCTGCAATAAGAAGTGTTGTTACTTGCAGGATTAACTGGCGTAACGTTCAGTGCCTCCAACTCCCATTATCCAGTAAAAGTGCTAAATTACATTGATATGAACTAGCCATTACTGGACAAGAAGTTAGCCATGTGTTGGAAATTTTTACTCCACTGTATGTCTTTTTGTGTCAAATATCTATTATTTTGTTAATTTCTTTGTTTTTTTTAATAAATGCCATTGAACTCACTTTTATATAGACCAATTTATAAGTGATGTCCTTTTATAGCTTATTAATGCTTCTGTTTCTGTATTGATTAGCTGAAAATATTCAACACAGTGGACAGGATCCCTTTGTTTCTTTACATAATGTCTTATGGACAAACAGAGCAGGGCTTGGGAGCGAGCCTGCAGGAGTGCCCCCATAGCAAGCGGCTTGCTATGGGGCAGTTGCCAGTGGGGAGGAGGAAGGAGCGCCGGCGGGGGACCCTAAAAGAAGAGGATCGGGTCTGCTCTGTGCAAAACCATTGCACAGAGCAGGTGAGTATAACATGTTTATTTTTTTTTATATATATATATTTTTTTTTCCTTTTTAGAATCATTTTAAATGGTGTTCCCTTTGGGGACAAATATACCAGTTGAAATCTGTAAATGGATGTAGGTAGTGTTCTATCAGTATAAACGTGAGAAAAGGTCTATCCCTAAAAGTTAATTTTGCAAAATAATTTGCCTTCCCATTGTGGTAACTCAGTTTTCCAGTCTATAACAATCTCTAATAGATTTGGCCTGAAAAGGGTGATCTTGGAATTGGGAAATCATGCCATAACGTGTGTTAACAGGAAACTAGTCATGGGAGAAATACATGGACAGTATAAAAATAAGGTATAAGAACTTTTCTCAGATTTTATTTTTTCGATTCATGATTTTTCTAGTCCAGATAGCACAGACAGCTACCATTTTCAAGAGCTCAGCAATGGCAGACCTTGGTATTTCTCTCATGTGTGCTATACATAAAAAAGACTGAGATCCTTTAGATAAATTGAAGCTTGGATATTGTTGTTTACCTATTTAATAAACCTGGTAGCTGATGTGTAATAGTGATCTCTGAAAGTTTTATTTAGCCAGAAATGTATTAATGTTTGTGTTTTGTTTTAACATGATATTTAGCTGTAGAGTACAGCAAAGATTCCATAACTGAAGCAAGAAATACCCTTAAGATAATTTTGTCATTTATTGATGATGCCAAGGCATATCTAAAAGGCCAGCTCAATTGCCAGCCGATTCAGGAGGATATACTCTGGCACAGGTAAATTTATGGCCAGCATTAGTACAATGATAGCACCAGGATTAGGTTACTTATTTTCAAAAAAAGCGACAGTTATTTTCAGTTGAGCCCTATGATATTTAATTTTACGGTCACATGGCTGAAAAATTAGTGCCTTATGCAGGCCATAGATGGTTCGTTTATTGGCTGATTTTTCGTCTGAAAAACGAAACATTGTTCGTTCTGCAAACAGATGTTGCCACCAATGATTGCGAAAATTGCCCGCTTTTCACGAATTTTCCAGCATGACCGATAAACGAAATGAGGAACCGCAAAAATCGTCCGATGCCATTGCCCCACCAAAAATCGGCCGATAAACGAACCGTCGATGGGCCTGCATTACACATGTGTAAAGCTTTGTGATTTCAGACTGATGTACCCCCTGGATGACAGGTGCATGACCTTGGATATTGCTTAATGTTACGTTTCAGAGATCCATCTTGTGCTTTTTTCAATGTTTTATTGGTGCTAGTAAAAATGTGTGCTGTGCAGATACTGTACATGGGCAAGCATGGATTTATTGTTTTTGTATGTATTAGTATCATTTTTGGTTAAAAATAAACCTGTTGGCATTTGCAAAAACTTTTATGTTAATGTGCAGAGGAACATAAGAGACCCTGTCATAGGGAGTAGGGGATGTGGAGGGTATAACTCTCTTGTAGATTTAAAATATAGGCATTGAGAGGTTGCAGCAGCCTTCCAAACCCTCCTGTTAAAGATAAATGCAGGGCTGTTCTGACAAACACTGCTTTGGCACAACCTAATGGTGCCAATGCTTTTCTGGACCTTCCTGCATATTTCTTTTGGTTATTGAGGCAGCCTATCATAGTATTGGACTAATAGGTACATGTGGGCTAGGGCTGAGCGGCAAGCTGTGGCACTACTTGGAAATGTCAAAGCTTTGTTCACAGAATGGCACATAATTCAGCCATGACATGAGGCTTTAGAAGTCTCCTGCAGGCATAATGCATCTTTCTATATGACCAATATCCAAGTACCAGTGCCATTACATTAGCACAGGGAGACAGTCCCTGGCACTTTGTTTGCTCCAATCACAAAGATACTTCAAAATTAAACAAGATTTCTTCTTTAAGCGCCTGTGACTGAATTTAGCAGTAGGAAGGCAAAGCAGAGGTAATGGAGGGATTTATGGACAATAGAATAGTTGTAAATGCCAGTGAATAATCAAAGTGGCTCTAAAGCCTTAAGGTCTTTTACTTTAATGTATTAAAGCGGAGTTCCACTCATCCTGTCAAAAAATAAAAGTCAGCATCTACAAAAACTGTAGCTGCTGACTTTTAAAACACAGCAACTTACCTGTACCTCGGTTCCGTGTTATGTCTCTGCAGCTAATTTCACCTGCCGTCCTGGATTCCTGGAGGCCAGCATCTTCAATGTGGGCACCCGGCTGTGACAGCTTGCGGCTTCACAGCCGGGTACCCACTGCGCATGCGCGAGTAGCGCTGCGCTTCATGAATGGTCCTGTAGTCTTCTGGGACCTGTCACGTGTCCCAGAAGACTGCGGGGAGGTAAGGAGGGAGGACACCTTCCGTTTACTGATCGCCTAGGCTGTCCGACCACAATTGGGAGCCGGTACCTGTCAAATTCGGGTACCCGCTCCCTCCACCCCCCAAAGGTGCCAATCCTTAATGGGGAGCGGGGAGCAGTCCTTAAAGCGGAACTTCCCCTTTTGGGTGGAGCTCCGCTTTAAGGTAAAAAACCTTCTCTGCTGCAGGATCCCCCCCAGCCGCCCTTTATACTTCCCGATCTCGATCCAGCGATGTGTACGAGAGCAGGGGATTTCGCTGCAGTCTCCCTCCTCACTGGGCAGACTGACAGCACTGGTCCCACTGTTGTCAATCAAATGCTGTGCTGAAGGAGCTGGGTCCAGGGCTGAGCTGCTTCATCTGTGTCTGAGGAAGACAGGGCTGCTCTGGTGGCTTTCTATGGGGGCATTCACCAAAAGGGAGGAGCCTGGAGCTCCAGTGGGGGACCTTAGAAGAGGAGGATCAAGGATGCTCTGTGCTAAACTATTGCACAGAGCAGGCAAGTATAACATTTAAAAAAAAAAAAGGCTTAATGTCACTTTAAAGTAGAACTATAGGCAAAATATCTTTTTTCCATTTTGCATAGAGTAAGGGAGGATTATAACTCATCAGATTTATTTTCACCATCAGTGTCCCATTGCAGAGATTTTCCTTCACTTCCTGTCCCATAGCCAAACAGGAAGTGAGAGGAACTCCCTACAAAGGTAATTCTTTGGGGACCCCCCCAGGTCACCAGAACTAGTGTCCCAGTTGGAAGATTTCCCCTCTATTACTTTTCAGGAGACAGCTCAAGATTAGGGGTTTTCTTTTACTTTCGCTTTCAATGATGATGGTAAATGGGACAAATTGAAAGGGTGGTCCTGCCTAATGGGGTCACAGACAGCAATGACAACTGACAGGCATTCTAGTCCCTCTACACTCTATCCAAAAACTAAAAAAAAGCTTTGCCTTTAGTTTTACTTTAGAGTAAGCCATACGATGGGTCATTTGTTGATTGCATTGCCTGGAATTTAGCTTGAAGAAAAAAATAAAAACAAGTAAAGCATTTCTGCCTCAGGATGATTTATACATACAGAGAAAAGATCATTATTTTTTATTTTTATTTATTTTTTTAGCTTTTTTGGTCTGTATTAATGCATCACTGTTTAATATGTTCATCATTCCTATTTAACGTCTGCAGTGCCTTCAGAATGATATGGTTTAAGAGCTTAAAATACAATGAGCTTAAAATATTATATGCCTCCCTCTGTCCACACAATAATATTCAGTCCTTGTTGTTCTAGTAATTAGTGTTTTTGGGGGATCCAGCCATTGAAATAAACTGATATCATGTATCCAAGACTTGTGTTTTAGTCCTGTATCTGAATATTTTACAGCCCATTGTTGCACATTTTACTTTCCCTTTCACAACGGTGTTTGTGGAATATAGTGACTTGCTATTATATGCCTTTAATCCATGTGACAATCCTAATACTATGTTACACTAAGCCATGCTCTGCTCACAGCGAATGTTTGTTTTTCTTTCATTGTCCAAAGCCTGAATAAAACAAAAGTGAATGTTAAGGCAGCACTTGCAGATGACTTTGACACCCTGCGAGCTGTTGATGCTGTTATGGACCTCATTCACCATGGTAACCGACAGCTTAAGACTGTTTCCAAGGTAACCCATCAGCATATAATCTAAAGATGGCAGCTGTCCATGGCAGCGGGCTTAAGGTTAGCCTCTGAGTTGCTTTAGCTCTAAAACCATCTTCCTGTCTGCTTAGTTGAAGTACAGATTTGGATATAATTGTTTGAGTTTTTAATATTCAGCTATATATATGTATCTCAAAATGGGACTATATTTGCAAAGAGTTGCAAGACTAGTTTAATTTCATTCCATATACATATCATTTTAAGCAGATTACAGAAGCTGTTGAAAAAAAGCTCTCCTTTACTGTGAATTTCATTGACTTTATTGAGACGTATGATGATGTGATCAGGCTTTATGATGTTTAATGATATGCATCTTTCAAGAGATTTCCATTCACACTTTAATAATGAATAATTATATTCTGTTATATTTTAGATAAACTCTTAGACACCAAGCTCTTTCAGACACAGGCCAGACCTGATTAGCTTTCTAGAGAATATAATGAGACCACATTCTTCTTTTTTTTAATAGTTCTTCATGTTGGTTCTGGTGTCCTGTACTATTGTAAGAGTACATTTTCTTTTCTGTTCCTTGCAGGAATTTCAGCATGCCCGTAGTCCACTTGTTTATGGTGCTATGGTGAATTATATAGAGCAGTTCCTGGAGCAGTTGGGAATTTCTGTGCATCAGAAGCAGGTAATACCCATTGTGATCATACAGGCACCATGTTCAACACACATATGGGTTTCATTTCCTCCTTACGTATATCTGTCCTCTACCTTTTATATACTGCATGTCTGCTTAGTATGTTGTATAAAATAGTACAGTAAATGACAATTTTTATTAATACGTGTTTTTTCTGGATAAACTTTTATCAGATCTCTTCTTTTCAGTTGAATTTTATTTTTTATTTTATTTCTGGTACTTATATAGCGTTGTCAATTTACGCAGCGCTTTTACATATATATTGTACATTCACATCAGTCCCTAACCTTCAAGGGGCGTACAATCTCAGGTCCCTAACTTACATTCATACATACACATACTAGGGCCAATTTAGACAGGAGCCAATTAACCTACCAGCATGTATTTGGAGTGTGGGAGGAAACCGGAGTACCCAGAGGAAACCCACGCAGGCACAGGGAGAACATGCAAACTCCAGGCAGGTGGTGCCGTGGTTGGGATTCAAACCAGCGACCCTAGTACTGCCAGGCAGAAATGCTAACCATTTAGCCACTGTGCTGCCCAAGTTGAATGAATTGAAGTGATTGTACACCTTAATTTTTTTTTCTACTAAGGCTCTAGCTGACAATCTTATGTATTTTGGGATCCTCATTAAGACTCAAGGTGAAGATCCAGTAGGCTTCTTTTTTTACAGAGCCTCTGGTGTCTCCTCCAGGATCTAAATCTCACCCTGTGGACTCTGTACCAAAACACTCTAATACCTTTAGGGTCCCCATTATGCACCACTTTAAAATGGCAGGAAATAGAGTTTCTCTTTGCCATTGAGGATCCCCCACTTATGATCACCGATTCTCGCTCTCAAATGGTGAAAAATCCAGCCCCCCACACTTTTTTTCACTAAGCTTCACCTCATGCACTAAGCTAAGGGAACATTTACGAGGGGCGTTCAAGTCAAACCAGGACTTTTAATTTTATAGGTATAAAAAGGGATGCTAGCATGGCAGTACTACACGCAGTAGTAAGTGACAAATGTGTCCTATTACTGATAGGCAGCCCACATGTTGCGGGCCAATCAAGATGGCAGATAGTGTTAGTGTGCGCATGGAACAACATGTGGGGATGAAGTTTCTTGTGAACGAAGGTGTAAAACCCATGGATATCTACAGAAGACTTCAAGCACAGTATGGTGATGAGACGCTCAGCCACAGTAAGACAATTGAATGGTGTAAATGTTTCAAAGATGGCCGTGCATCCATCAGTGATGATACCAGCCATGGGGGTTCCCAGCCCACAGCATTCATTCCCGTGAATATTCAGTTCGTGGAATGTCTGATCCTGGATAATTGACACATAACATGTTGTGAAATTGCACAAGAGACAAATCTTTCTGTGGGAACGGTGAACACAATGATGAGGAAGTGAAGAAGGCTATTCTAGGTTGGTTCAGGAGTACTGACAGATCTTTCTGTGCTGAAGCTTTCCAGGCATTCGTTAAACACTGGGATAAGTGTATAAATGTAGCAGGGGAGTATGTCGAAAAATAAATGCCGTTTTCACTACTTGAAATTTGTGCTTTTATTATGTAAACTCAAAAGTCCCGGTTTAATTTGAACACCCCATGTACTTGCAACGTGAACTTGCTCTATTCCTTTAGCAGCCTAACCCCACTATCATAAAATGAGCCAGATAAAGCATGAACAGAGGATTAAACGAGTCACATAGGTGGGAAAAGCCACAGAAATATCTGAGAGTCATTCTGAGAATAGACTGACATTGAGGTCAATATCTTTTGTGTCAAATAGATGTAGCATTCTTTGTTCAAAGGTTTTTTCATCACAGGCACCATTTAAAGCAGTATTAAACCCACAACCGAAAATGTAATATATTGCAACTTGACAGTTATTAGATGTGGTGGCTGCATCAGTTTTCTTTTCTTTTTTTAGGCTTTTTCTCCTCTGTTTTCATTTGGTGATCTGGCCAGTAACACACCTCCTGTATTAGAGTGAACCAACTCTGGATGAAGGAGCACAGGGGCACCTTTGGAGAGCAGCTTTGGGCTATAGTAACAAATTGCAGCCAAAGGCCAGCTAACAATAAGTGGTTACAACAAACAGTTTTTCTTTTTCTTTTTTCATTTGGAGATAAAGGTTTTCCAAAAAACTGACCATTGTAAGCACCCCTGTCAGTAGTAAATAGTTTGTCTCAACCCTGTAACTGCTACATCTGCAAGAGCTTGTTCTTTTGTAAAACAACAGACTTTACTGGCTGGATCACCAGGTGAAATTAAAAGAAAGAAACCCTAAAAAGGAAAATGAATGCAATAATATAATAAATGTTTTGCTTTTGGGTTTAATACTAGTTTAAATTCTGCCCACTCTATCCAAAACGTTAGAGGTTTTGGCTGGAGTGGGGTTTTAAAGTGTTAATAAAACAAAATCCGTAAAATCAGTCTGTATATGCAGTAAAGTATGCTTGTTATACTCACTGTGGAACTTAAGGGGTTAATCCTCTTCATTGTGTGAAAAGGATGGTTGATCTGGTCTTCTCTGATCCTCCCCTTCTTCCACATTCCCCATTTTTTCTCCTGATAGAACAGAGCCTCGGGTGCACTCTGCAAATGATCAGTTTGGTGTGTACTGCTTGAGAGTTGTTTCTTGGGAGGGTGCATGTGATCAGCACAGTGCCAATTAGCACTGTCGCAGACAGAGATCAGGGGTTATGCAATCTCATAGGGCTTTGAAAGGAGAATGAAAACTCCTCCTACAAGCTTTAAACCAGTGCTCAAGAGGGACACTGATAGCTAGGGATGCACTAAAATATCGTTGGCCGAAACGTTTTGGTCGAAAACACCCCTTTCGTCCGTCGGCCAAAATGAAAAAAAAGCACCGATACAGTTGCTGAAAAAACCCTGCCCGTCGCCGCTGTCCGCCACTCGCCACTGCTTGCCTGCCGTCATTGCTGGCTGCTGCTCAGTAGTTCAGCCTTACCCGAGAAACCATCAATCCTGGCGCTGGGCATAGACATGAGTGAAGAAAAGATGGCCGCCACACATCTCTATGCCCTTGGAAGACTGGAGCGATGTCTCTTCCGTTCCGGCCATTTATTTATTTTAAAGCACTAAATCAATGCTTTGTTTTGATCCATGCATTGCAGAGGATGCGAGTGTGGGGTTACAATGGGGTCTTATTGACCCCATATCTCTCATAAAGAGGACCTTATTTTTCTCTCCGAGAAATGCCTGCATCGTCACATCCTAAAGGAGCAGATATGGGTCAGATGATGTCTCTATCCCTTGGAAGACTGGAGCGATGTCTCTTCCGTTCCGCCATTTATTTATTTTAAAGCACTAAATCAATGCTTTGTTTTGATCCAATGCTTTACATTGCAGAGGAGAGATATGGGGTCTTATTGACCCCATATCTCTCCATAAAGAGGACCTGTCACTAATTATTTCTCTCACAAGGGATGCAGGCATTTCTTGTGATAAGAATAAAAGTGATTACATTTTTTTTAAAGGAACAGTGCAAAAAAAAACCCCATTAAATAATAAAAAAAAAAAAACCAAAGTTTAAAGTGCCCCCGTCCCCCTGTGCTCGCACATAGTGGTGAACGCATACGTAAGCCATGACCACATATGTAAATAGTGTTCAAACCACACACGTGAGGTATCGCCACGAACGTCAGAGCAAGAGCAATAATTCACGCACTAGACCTCTGTAGCTTTACACTGCTAACATTTTTAAAGCATCACCCATGGATATTTTTAAGTACCGCCGTTTCACGCCATTCCACGAGCATGCACAGTTTTAAAGCATGACATGTTGGGTATCTATTTACTTGCCGTAACATTCTCTTTCATATTTTACAAAAAAATTGAGGTATATATATTTTTTTAAATCAAAGTGTATTTTTTTCCAAAAAAATGTATATTCATTTTTAAAAACTGCGCATTTCGGTTTCGGTTTTCGGCAAAGTGCATTTTCAATTTTCAGTTTCGGCACCATAATTTTCATTTCAGTGCACCACTGATAGCAGTCACAAGACTTCTCTAACTGCTGATGTGAAAAAGTATTTAGTTTATATATTTAGTTTATAGTTACTAAAATAATTGTATTTCCATGTTGTGTGTACAGTGGAAGACCAGATATAGTGAATGCAGAGTCCTGGGTTTAGTAACACTTTAAGACCTGCTTTGTTGCCTCTGGCCTGCTAGTGTAACCTGTTATTCACAATGCTATTCTGTGGTTTTCTTTGTGTTTTTTCCATACTGGTTTACAGTCTGTAGCAGCAGACAAAAGTTCTTCCCTTCTTTACAATGTGGTAGAAGAGACTGTAGACTTCAGAAGCAAGGTGCGTAGCTATGCTCTGTTATCTGAAGAGATGGGACAAGATCTTGGTCTTACTAAAGAAGAATTAAACCAGGAAAATGAGAGAAGGAGAAGAATCTGTAAAGAACGGGAGCCACTCATGCGTGCCTGTGATACTCTGCGCCAGAATCTAGCTGGATACGGTATTAATATTAAGGTTAGTATTATGTATATGTGTGTATGTAAACTGTACATATACGTAAAACTAGATTTTCTATAAGAGTTCAATGGGAGATACAGTCTTCTGTGGGTCAGTGGTGTAACTACAGATCCCAATTTTGCTATCCCGCCCCCCCCCCCCCCCGGCAATCTCCCTACATTCATGGAATTTTAACATAAAGTCTAAATTAAGGGCAGGTAGCAGGAAAGCTGTGAGCACATTTCCAGAGCTATGTGGACCAAAGTTGTCATGGAAGAGGGGAGAGCAGTGCAGGGAATTAACTTTGTATTCATTTTCCAACTAACAATTCTGTGGCTAGTAGTTCACTGATCTTTGTCAGCGTCTCAGAGCCTCAATGTAAAGGAGGCGGGTGGGGGCATGTTCACTGTACTATAAAAGAGATGGGGTGACTCTACGACATTAAAAATAGTTTAACCCATTGTCTACCATGGTATGTTTGTAAACATGCTGGTATTCAAGGAGTTAAAAAAAGTTCACTTTTTTCCACATGCTGAAAAAAAAGTGGGCTTGTTTTTAACCCCTTGAATACCAGCATGTTTACAAACATACCTTTGTAGACAATGGGTTAAACTGTTTTTATGTCTATTTTTTACCTGGGAAGACAGTCTAGAAAACTGTGTTAGGCATTTAAAGTTAGTTTCAGTGCTGGTCAAGATGACCACAAGATCTTACGGCAATAAATCTACATTTCCAAGACCACTAAAACAAATTCACTTTACTGCACAGCCTGAAAAGGGGATCTGTGACTAGTGATAATGTTCCTGAAGCCTCCTCCTTTTTTGTATGATGTCAGCTATTTTTTATTTGAAATGTCACTGGGGGTACAGGGGCAGTGTGAACAGAAACCACTAAAATCCTTATTAACCACATCAAGTCCGGACACTTTTACCCCCTTCCTATCCAGGCCAATTTTCAGCTTTCAGTGCTATCACACTTTGAATGACAATTGCGCGGTCATGCAACACTGTACCCATATGCATTTTTTTAGCATTTTTTTGAGACAGATAAAGCTTTTTTTTGGTGGTATTTATTCACCACTGGGATTTTTATTTTTTTTTGCTATGTAAATGAAAAAGTCCAAAAATTTTGAAAAAAGTGTTTTTCTTATAAAATTTTGCAAATAAATAATATTTCATCATAAATCTTGGCCAAAATTTATTCCGTTTTTTCTTTTTAGTAAAAAAAAAAAAAAAAAAAACTCAAATTAGTTTATAACCAAATATTATAATTTTTAAACTTTTTTTTTTTACATTTTTATTATATATTTTATTTTTTTAACATACTGTCACCCTAGCAGTACAGTGTCACCCTGGTGACACTGTACTACTTGTGGGGGGTGATGATGAAGATTTTTTTTTTTTTTTTTTTTTTTTTTTAACACTGATTGCTTTTACACCCATAAAGGCTGTAAAAGCATTTTTTCCTTCTCTCTACTGTGTGAGCTGTGATTGGTCACAGCTTGTCACATGGTACAAGGCTGTTGTGAATAGCCTTGTACCATGTGACCTCTGTGATCATTCACAGATCTCACACGTAGTAAGCAATGATATCAGAAGTGACATCTTGCTTACTACTCTGCATGTGATCACTGATTGTCCAATCAGTGATCACATGATCGGGACCCTCGCACAGAGGTCTCGTACGACGATCGGTGTTCCACTGTGTCCGGAGGACACAGCGGGCACCGGATTGCGGTGCTGCGCACTCCCAGGGAGCGCGCACAAGCAGGGGGCAGGGAGGCAGTTTATAAACGGCCACCCGACCCTGCACTGCCATCGTCCAGCCGTTTTATATAAAACGGCCGGATAGGAGGTGGTTAATATACTGTAGCAATGGATATGTGTTATCTCTACATGTACTCCGATTGTCTATTTTTAAATTGCCTCAGAAACCTTCCTAATGTAGCCCCTCCATCCCCAGGCCCCATACCAGCCGCATAGGCTACTATTGCCAATGTGTTGCCACCACTTTGGGCATACGCTTTTGCTTCCTAGGTGCTGGTATGCTAGGCAAATTAATAGCACAGCCCTGCCTAGTGGCTATACATCTGCATACACTGAACAAGTTCAGTTTAGCTACATCTGACCATAAACTGTACAGTCTTGTTCTCCGATCTCTTTCAGATTTACCAACAACTATGCAGTGAAAGGGTCTATTTGACTGGATACAGTTTGAATGAATTGTCTAGGTTTAACTGTATCAAGATGTTGGAGCTGAAGATCTTCTATTAACAGCTGCTTGACAGTGTCATTGCACATACCCAGATCTTAGATATTCACCACAGCAGCCAAAGGGAAATTCCCTTGCAAAGTGAGAAGTCTCTCATTAATAAATCAACCGCAAATGTTTCATCAGTGTCATATCTGATTCCTAGATTCCGATACTGCAGTGGCCATCCCATCCTGCTTCCCAATCTAGATATTCATTGAGCTTTTACCTAATGGTGGTGAATAGGCTGTTTCTCTTTAGGACAGGGTTTCAGGGGTGCTTCTCCCTAACTTTTGTTTATTTCCTACTATTTAAAGCAACTTTTACTTTGATTTTCTGAACCGCTGTTTCTTTGCACCATTTTGGAGCACGTTTTCTCAGTTGATGAGAACATTTCTTTACTGTTATGCTCTGTAGGGCCATTTTTCTGGTACACCTTTGCAGGGCATGAGTGGGGCTTTTTTGGAACACGTCTCATGGCTGCAGTGAGCATTTTACATGTGACCTGGAAGTATCTCTCATTTAGGAACATTGTATGCACATCTGCAGGTAAACAGTAATGCCTCTGTGCATCAGTATTTACACAAGTCAGCAGTGAACAACCCTTCACATGTATGGTAGTTTTTCCTCAAATCTGGTCCCTCAGGTGTGAATTGCGATTTTTCAGCAAGGCTTGCAGTTATTAGTTATCTACCTGGTTCACCTATGTATAATCTGCTATATTTAACCACTTCCCGTCCGGCCCATGTATATAAAACGGCTGGACAGGAGCATTGCAGGAGCGGGTGGCCGTTTATAAACGTCCTCCCCCCGTGTGCGCTCCCTGGGAGTGTGCAGCACTGCGATCTGGTGCCCGCTGTATCCTCTGGACACAGCAGAACACCAATCACTGTATGGGACATCTGTACGAGGTCCCAATTATGTGATCACTGATTGGCCAATCACTGATCACATGAATAGTAGTAAGCAAGATTGTCAATTCTGACATCATTGCTTATTACTAGTGAAATCTGTGAATGATCACAGAGGTCACATGGTACAAGGCTATGCACAACAGCCTGGTACCATGTGACAAGCTGTGACCAATCACAGCTCACACAGTATTTCTCAATGAGAGAGAAGGAGAAATCATTGCTTTTACACCCATAAAGACTGTAAAAGCAATCGGTGTAAAAAAAAAAAAAAAAACCTTCATCACCCCCCACAAGTAGTACAGTGTCTACAGTACTATGGTGACACTGTACTGCTAGGGTGACAGCATGTTAAAAAAAAACCATAAATAATAATATATAAAAAAAAATAAAAATGTCAGTTACTGGCAGGATCACCAGGCAAAATAAAGCTTAACCCCTTGACGCCGACGTAACACAAATATGCGGCCTCACAGAACTGGGCTTTTTTCCATACCTGTCTTTTTGTGTTGGGAGCACGCCGTGCTCCCAGCACAGACAGCGGTGTCACTGAGAGCACCAGGTCCCATTCTAACGATCAGGACCCAGGACTCCCGATTCCGGGTCACATGATCGCTGTGATAGCCTCTGATTGGCTATCACAGTGATCAGTCACTGTACAGCCCAGCCCCTTGTATCTCTTTAACTCCTGGCATAGAGAGGAAAAAAAAATGTTTGTTAAAAAAAAGAAATAAATATTAAAAAATACCTAGATCAAGGTTTGATCTAGTTCAGTGCCAGAGTTAGTGTTTAGGTCAGGGACAAAGGTCAGGATTTAACATAAAAAGTTTGGTGTCAGTATGGTTTAGGTAAAAAAAGACAAAAACAAAATGCGCACTATTATTTCTGGGCTGTACTACGGGTACAAACAAATAGCATACACATATATGGTATTGCTGCTATCAGCAAGAGCTGGAGAATTTATTTTGGGTTGTTCTGTGGTGGTAGGTTATGGTAGTAACAAGAAAAACACAGCTATTTTATTTTTACTATTTTGGGCCAGTTTTCCTTTGATAATAAAAAAAAAAAAAAAACAGGAGATATCCATTACCATTTACCACCAATTGAAAGCCCAATTTGTCCTGAAAAAATACAAGGAATAATTCACCTGGATGTACAAAGTAGTTGTGATGATGTATGGTTTTACTAACACATGTCAACGTTCCAAAATTTTGCTTAGGCATTTAGATTTGTTTTACCTTTAGGTGTGAAGGGGTTAAAAAAGAAAATAAATGCAGCCATCACATCAAATGATTGATAAGCTATAATGCATTACATTTTTGGTTTAATACTCCACAATGTAGTTCTTATATTATCTACAGTAATGTTCATGCTGCTGGGTTACTGGGGTATCAACTTGCCTTAAGATATTACTACTCACTTGATTTTGTTTTTTTTAAGGATCGAGGAAATACTTCTACTTGGCAACACCAATAAAAAAAAATGGACTAGTAATATTTAGTACATGTAATTATTTCACCTAAATATATATGTATTTTTTTTCTTTATAAAGTGACTGGTGTGTTAATTATTTAATTAAAATGATCTGTTTCACTATATATTTGATTACACAGATGTGCCTACCTCCATACAGGTTGCTTATGCTGTGAATGCAATACATACTTCTTCCATAACTTCATATTCAGATCTGTAAAATTCCTGCTCTCCCACCGCATGCTGACAACTATCTTCTGTAGTGGGCTTTTGAATAGATTTTGTTTTTTTTGGTTTCTAAGTCAGGCCTCACCTAACCCTAGGTTCACATCTAAGCGGTTTCCACAGTATTTGGCAGAAACGCACTACAGTCCATTTAACATGATTTCCTATGGGACAGGTTCACATATCCGCGCTTTCACCCAGTGCGGTTTTTCGAAAGGGTCAGGGACTTTTTTATATGCAAAAAGTTGCGTTTGATTCTATGGACTTCAATTGAAACATTGCAGAAAAGCATGTAATGCGTTTTTGATATGGTTTGTGTCTTAGTCTACCAAGCAACAAGAAAAAACACAAAAACAGACTGCAAAAAGCACTAAAGAAACGCAAGCCTAGCCTAAACGTCATCCCACATTAGTGGTCCTACTGCTAGTGGCAACACATCAGAGACAGGATCCCCCAAACAACAATCACTAGATTCTACACCCTTGGACTGTAGGCTGAACTAATGAGATATTACTGTTCAGTGAAATTGTGAGTATTTCAGCCACTGAAGAAATGACTCTGTATGAGCTGAGCTCTCTTTAGCTCTAGTTTTGAGAGTTGCCATTACCACTAAGTTGACCAATTCATCCTGCTATTAAACTCGGTGATTTTCAACTTTTAGAAGACTGATAAGCAATTTCACTGCAGAAGATAAACAATGTTGTAAGAGACAAAAAAAAAAAGACACCAAACCCCCCCCCGTGCCCCCCCCCCCATCATTACTAACAATGCCACCATCTCTCCCACCCCACACACCAAAGTCCTGGGTGTCACCCTGGACCCCACCTCTCCTTCCTACCCCACATCCAACTGCTATCTAGATCTTGCAGGCTCCACCTCCACAACATCTCCAAGATACGCACATTCCTCACCCCAGACACCACCAAACAACTCGTACACTCCCTCATCATCTCACGCCTGGACTACTGCAACTCCCTTCTCACTGGCCTACCCAAACGAACGCTATCCCCACTCCAGTCGATCCTAAACTCAGCGGCCAGACTCATCCACCTCACCAAGCGCTCCACGTCTGCCTCCCCCCTGCCAATCCCTTCATTGGCTCCCGATTGCCCAACGCATCAAGTTCAAGCTGCTAACTCTGACCTACAAGGCCATTCACAATGCCGCCCCGAACTACATAACTGACCTGATACCCAGATACTACCCTACCCGTGCCCTCCGCTCCTCACAGGACCTCCTGCTCTCTAGCTCCCTGGTCTCCTCCTCCCACACCCGATTGCAGGACTTCCCCCATCCTCTGGAACTCCCTACCCCAATCCATCAGAATGTCACCTACCCTCCTCACCTTCAGGCGCACCCTGAAAACCCTCCTCTTCAGGGAAGCCTGCCCCAACCTCACCTAACAACTAACCTCCTCCACTCACCACCCACCACTCCATCCCCCACAGCCATCTCCTCCTGTGCCACCTTCCCCTCCCTCCTAGATTGTAAGCTCGAAAGAGCAGGGCCCTTGAACCCCTCGTGTAGCGTATTGTTACTGTCTTGTCTCATGTTATGTCCCCCCTGCTAATGTACAGCGCTGAGCATATCCTTTGGCGCTATATAAATACTGTATAATAATAATAATCCCCAGCTAACACTTTTTAAACCTGAAGTCTTGGTATGATCCTTATTACATAATTGTTTTGGTCTGGCTCAAACCAATATAATTATATACATCTCTGAGGGACCAATATGGAAGATGGCAATCACTGTAGTAGTTACAGTGATATCTACAACCTTTCAGGTCCTTTT